AGACTGGTAGCCGGTCAAATGTACACGCACGATTCTGCCGACGTCGCAGTGACAACTGAAGGCCCATGTATATAATGTATCAAGGCGAGGCCGAAGAGGCCCCACCAAAGTACGTTTGAACCGAAGTCGGAAACACCAGGTGTGTGTCAGACCAGGGAACTCCTGCCGGCAGGTGAGAACGGCCATTCTGATCTTTGGCCAAGGATAATTATTCAACCGGCAAAGATAACCGACGTTCCAGATCCGTTTACATTTTTCAAATAAATATTCGTCATAAAACGGAAGATAGTCTAATAATTATTACATTCTCCAAAAATAAATGCATTTATATTTATAAAATTGCACAAATGAAAAAAAAATTTAAGAGAAAAATGACTTTCCCTTAATAATTTTTTTTGGAAAAATATAATAATAAAGTAACTAATATTTTTGTCATTTGTTCACAAATGTTCTTTAAATTAATAGAGCCCTAATATAATTTAAAGTTTTTTAAGAGAATATTCTTTTTTAGATATGTTCTATTTATATTGTTTTTTTTTTTGCCAAAATTAAAAATATGCAAATAGAATGAACAAATAGAATTTAAATGCATTTGGGAATAGTTATAAAAATTTTTAAAAATTTAGATAAATCTAATATTTTAAAAGGTTATATAATTTGTATAAGAACGACATGAAAACTGAAATGTTTTCAAGCTGATATATTTATTATTTATTCAATGGAATGTCAATAAAAATTTTTTAAAGCTGAGCACCACTGTTATTACTTTCACCGTCACTGAGCGATTCAGACCTGATGGAAGAACTTATGGAAAGTAATAAAAGAGACAAAAAAGAAGGGGTTCTACTACTGGTTCCTGTCTACCTTGAGCGGTGCTCCTTCATTCTATCTTGTTCCTTTCCAAACATTTTTTGTTTTGCTGTTATTTGATTTTTTATTCTGAGCTATCTTTCTTATAATAGTGATTTTTAAATAAACGCTAACGGATTTTGTATAAGATACAAAACAACAAATGCACTTTTTTCATTTATGATTTTTTGACTGATTTCTGATCTACTTCTTTTATTAAAATATATGACAATTTAAATAATATTATTTTATTTTTGTGTGATTATTGTACAAATGAGAAAAATGTGTAATATATTTTATTATATTTCTGATAAAATATGTATCTATCACAATTATGATAGTTATTAGTGTTCCGTTTAAGAATACTCATGTTATTATTTGTTTAAACAAATAAAATAATAATTTTTCATTTAAAGCAAAAATAATATTTTAAGCGCAAGATAAAGTATTCACATGCAATGCATACTGGCTAAAAAAAGACATTTGTGTACTGAACATGTATATCAAAATTTTTATTTATTCATTCAATCAGAAGTATAACGTCAGTTAAATGTAATTCGATTTATGTGGTTGACTCAAATTGAAGATCGATTTTTCACGTACTCATAATAGAGAATATATTAGGAATAGGAATAAATAATATTAAATACTTGGAAGAACAAAAGTTGTAATATTATTTTACTTCAAATAAGAAAACGGAATGAATGAATTATTCCTCACTCCTAAATTATTATTAATTCATTCCATTCTTTTTTAAATAAAATAATTCCAATTTCCTATTCTTCTAATAGTTTTAAATATTTATTTTAAATATTTATTTTTAATGTTTTTTACAGAATATTTAGTTTTTTAATTCATAATGATATAGATATGTAATGTATAAGATACTTCATGAAATTTAAAAAATGCTTCAAAGTCAATATTGCCTTTGATAATCAATACAATGAATATGTCATATTTAATTTTTAGTTTCTAGTACATATTCTTTATAAATATGATATTTAATTTTTGTTGTTTATAAATATCACGTACTATAAATTGAAAAATAATTAAATATCATGCTACGCATATCATAAATATACGTAGCATTTATTATCAAAGATAATATTGTTTTTGAAGTATTTTTTGAGCTTCATAAAGAATATCATAAAGCATATTATGAAGTATTCACGTGTGAAGTATTTACGTGTGAAGTATTTACGTGTTGCATATCTAGCTCATTATAAACTGAAAATTATAAATGAAAACTACTTTTTATCAATTGTAGTTTATACTTATAATATTGCATTTATTATCATTAGGCAATATTGACTTTGAATCATTTTTTAAATTTTATTAAATATTTTATGCATTGCATATCTAGCTAATAATTATGAACTAACAAACTGTTACTGATAAAAACTTTAGTTTCTATTTTACTATAATGTATAATGAGCTAGATATGCAATGCATAAGATACTTTATGAAGGTCAGAATTTGAATTTTATTTCAATATATGAGTTTTTGATCTTAATTTGATGTCATGTTAATTATATGTTTCTGATTGAATAGCTTTAGAGAGATTTAGCATGTTAATTTAATTGATTCTTTTATGAATTATTAAATTCATTTTTTTTTCATTTCCTCATTGCATTGAATGAATAATAAATGTCACAAGTCTCGTCGAAAAGTGCATTCACAGTTTTTCCAACGTCATGTTTCGCAACTTGTTGCGAGGTCGTCAACGAGAACGAGGATGTTCCTCACGCGGCTCATTAGCGTAATAAATTAGTAACTCCGGTTCAACGAGCTCGGAAAAGACAAGAGATAGAACGGAAAAAGTACACCTGAACGAGCATGCGCGCACATAAAAGGAATTTCGTCCCTTGCCCCATACAAAAATGATCACTATTCGAGAATTGGAGATTAGTTTCTGACGTAATGCCATAATGGACTTGATTTTACAGCAGATAATCATAATTTCTTGTTTTAAATTGACAGAAAATTTACAGTAAGATATTTTTTTCTACGAAAGCATCCATTTTCCCAATTTCGTTAAATTATTCAATTATATTAAATGTATGTAAATCGTTTGAAAATTCGAATATGTAATTATTATTAAATTTTATTTTTATATCTAAACTAAATTTTGTTTATAAGATAAAAAAGAAAACAAAATCTTATTGTATTCTTTTTACATATATATGTATATAATTTATAAATTTTATTCATCTTTTAAAATTGTTATAAATTATTCATGAACTTTTCAAATTAGTTTTCGTATGTTTTATAAAATAAACATTTTTTAAACAACAAATTTTTAAAATTTTTCATCAAAAATTAAGACGAAAAAGACATAACTTATCTATATATCAAAAGAAGAATCAGATCTGTCTTTGAAATGAAACTCAAAAAAGATACGCATGATACATGTTTTTGTAATATATCAGCTTTCGTTCTTTTAAAATCAAGGAATTCTCAAAGAAAAAAAACAGATATACATACCTGAAAAGAAAACCTCTCTCTCGAAATCATCTAAGTGGAATATATAGGAGGATTACGTTCGGTTGATTATGATGAAGTCCCATTTTGACTAATGACTGGTGTGGTCCATTTTTAACGCTGACACTAGCATAATGTCGTCATTACTGCTCTCGAGACGAGACGTCAGACACTTCATTATTCACGTCAGTTATGTACACGTAGATTTGCCTTGTATAACTATTGTACACTGCAAAAATTAAAACTTGCGTTAAATGTCGTTGAGCTTCAATTTGTGTGTGTGTGTGTATGGGCTTCAGATTTATATTATTATGTGTTTTTGTTTACATGAAATTTTAACGCGTTTATGTGTATTCCGAAATTAAGAATATTATATCGAAAAACACACATATATGTTTTTTTATAAATATAAAATTAGAGCAAGAGCGTTTTTAAATTCTGATTTTATTTTCTGATTATTATTCTTCTGATTATTATACAAAAAAATCGTATTAAAGTCATAAATCAATAATAAAAAGGATAAATTCCTTATGACATGTATAACCTTTTTTAATTGAGTTTTTTATATTCTATCTTGAAAGATTACAAGTAAACAGAAACTAATAAAATCGTAAATCGATATTCTTTATTTCTCGCACTCAATCATTACATTATATCAAGTTTAAAATAATTTATTTCTTGATCATAATTTGTGTGAGATATTTTATATCAGACATATTAATTATTAATAATAAATCAGTCTTAAGAAATATTTTTAAAACTCGATTTCATAATCAATGATTTTAATTCAATTAAAAGATTAGAGACAAAGACGAAGAGAGAGAAGAGAAGAGAAGAGAAGAGAAGAGAGAGAGAGAGAGAGAGAGAGAGAGAGAGAGAGAAATATTGTTGCATCTGAGCTAATTAATAATGGGCCAATATAATTGTCTTAAAAATATATATTGCATATTTAAAAATGAATAATTATAACAATATATATACACATACAATTGTTCTTTCTTATAATTATAACAAGATGTACGAGTATTAATATATTTGAAAATTTCATGCCACCTTGGTTATTCATACACGGATGATAATTTTACATGCTAATTATTAACAAGGAAAAAGGTCTTTATACATATCAAGCTCACGCACACAACATACATATTGTGTATATTGCATATACATTGTGTAATAACTACGTGCACATATATCTAAAATATTCTTCATTTAAAGAAATGCAACAAAATGAATCGAAATTTCGCGACGTTAAATTGACGAAAGAAACATAGCATATATGAATTAAAAAAGAAAAACTCGAGAAAATAATGTGTAGCAATATAGTTTGTACTTATTTATTCGTCAATTAAGTATATCACATATTAATAAGAATAATTAATGATGAAAATAATGACAAAATTACTTACAACAAACTCGACCGGTAGTTTTGTCCGCGCCTTCTTTCTCATTCTACAATGTCACCAACCGAATATTTGCGTTCGTCACTAGATACTTGTTGGTACTTTTCTAAGGCCAGGTTTACAATAGATAATTTAAGTCTTAAGCCTTAAGAGACTGACCAATCACAGTCAAGTATGAAGAGAATACTCGGCTGTGATTAGTCAATTTCTTTAGGCTTAGAGCTTAAATTATCTATTGCAGATCGGGATTAATGCCAATTTGTATCTAGTGACAAACCTGAATATTTAATTGTAGAATGCACAGTAGCGCGAAATAAAATTAATAAAAATGTGCGGTCGAGCTTGTTGGTAATTAATTTTGTTATTAATTTATCAGTAATAACTAATGAAATTATTACATAATATTATCACATAATATATTAACTACTTGTTAGTAAAATAAAATCATGAAATAAAGTTGTTAAAATAAAGTCATTTTATTATTAATTACTATAATTATTGTGTGTGATGTATTTAATTAATCAAAATTTTATGTATTAATTTATATGTATAAATATCTTATAAAACATTGTGTAATTTACAGTTCATTGGATCCAGACACTTTGTGTTGTGCGTGTGAATATAAAGATGCCAATGGTAAACAACAGAAATTGACATGGGCTAAAACCGATCTAAAATATACTCCATCATTTAATATGGGACCGCAAGATGTTTTACCTTGTATGGTATCTGGTTCACATTTTCAAGAGGAAAAAGAAAGAGTTCTTTGCGCTATGATATGGGGAATGATTCCACCTTGGCACAAGGTGAAAATAGAGCTTTAGTATACAGTTGAATATGTCAACTATTCTATATCAGCTTGTTATTTATCAGCTTCTAACTAATGTTTTTTTTTTCTTTAGGGAGATTACAAGAAACGGTCAGATAAGTTATCCACTCACAATGGTCGTTTGGAGAACATACAAACATCAAAATTATATTCTCCATCATTGCGAAACCGACAAAGATGTATTGTGGTCTGCGAGGGTTTCTATGAATGGAAAGCTGGTACAAATAACAAATCTTCAAAGCAACCATATTACATATATGCAACTCAAGATAAAGGTGTAAAAGCAGATGACCCCACAACATGGAATAATGAATCTTCTGAGCTAGATGGATGGAAAGGTTTTAAAGTATTGAAATTGGCTGGAATATTTGGAACATTTGAAACTGAAGAGGTATACATGCTTTTTTCTATCCTTTATTATATCAGAAATAATTAATATTTAAGATATTTGTAATCAACTGTATTATTATTGTTATAGGGAAAAATCATACATAGCTGTACAATTATTACACGAGAGAGTAATAAGGTTTTGTCCTGGTTGCATCATCGCATGCCAGTATATCTGCAAAATGAGGAAGAATGTCAAGTAAGTATTTGTATAATATCATTATATATCACATTTGTAAAAAAATATGAATTTAAGTATAAGGATATTGTATATTTCTTCTACATTTTTTACATATTTTATAATAATGTATTTTTTTTTTATTAGGCATGGCTAAATAATAATTTGCCGACAGATGTAGTTATCAAAAGATTAAACAACATGATATTAGAAGAACAAGCTTTAAACTGGCATCCAGTATCCACGGTTGTTAATAATGTACTTCATAAAACTCCTGATTGCAGGAAAGAAATAAAACCACAGTAAGTAAAAATCTATAAAAATCTATGAAATTAAAGATAAATCTTTAATGATTTATAAAGCCATATTTTGAGAAATTCCATATATTTTTTAAAAATTATTTTCAACTTGTTTTTAATATTTTATGATAATAGAATTAAACAAATTATTGATTTATTATTATACAGAGAAGAAAAAAAAGATAATCAAAAATCTTTTATGGCTTCATGGCTGTTAAAAGGATCCACTGCTTTAAATAAAAGAAAAAGTATAGATGCTAATAAAAGTATAGATGAAGAAGATGAAAAAAAGGCTTCAAAAATTCAAAAGAAAAATTAAAATTTGTATAAATTGGCATATCCATTTTCAATTTCCGTGGATCATTTGCTTAAATTATATATGTATATATAAAATAATTTATTTCATTCTCAGTATTTTTCAAAAATATATAATCCAATGATCTTAAGAGTGTTGAAAGCAGGTATTTTATTGATTAAACGTAACGAGACGCATATACTACATTTAAATATATTAATTATTAGTTAATAGCTAATTAGTAATTAATAATTAGTTAATTATTAATTTAATATATAATTACTATAAGCCCTTTCCTCAGGAAATACAACTACCTCTCATATAATAATTGTAGTATTTGTATTATGTAATATTTTTCTAATAATTATATTTTTAGAAATTACTCTTAATAAAACATCCTAAATTATAGAAAAAAGGAATTCACATAATAATGAATTAATTTAATTATACTTCCTATTTAATAATAAATATATGCTATAAAAATTCTAATTAAATTTTTTATGGTAAATAATATATATATATATATATATATATATATCTTGCATAATACTCAAAATATTAAAATCTTATATCTCACACACACATTAAAAGAAATATAAATAATTCGAATAATTCCCTCCTACGAACAGTCGTCCAATAGCGATGGAAGTTCGCAGCTGCAAGGTTGGCAACACGAGAGCAGTTGGTGAATTTGCATAGTTAGTGCGTTCGGAATTCGTGGAATAGAGTAGAATTCGAATCGACCAATCAGAAGACAAACAAGTCTTCGCTCCTTCCGTCCTGATTAGTCAATCAAACAATGCTTTATCTCGCGGATACGATCTCTGAACGCACCTTCGCGCGTGCTACATGGACCATAGGTTACGTACGCAAGTGCGTGTCCTCCGCAGAACCGCTCTTTGCGTTGCGCGACTCTTTGTCGTCGTCGTCGCTGTGCTTCCGTGATACGATAACGCGGGGGCTTGTATTTTCACGCCGGCAGGACAATCGGCACGTGACGCGTTAACTCTAGACGACGTTAAATCGAGTGGCAGAAAAGCGAGAGGGATCGGAAAAGTGTGCGCGCGTGTGTGTGTGTTCAACGCGCGCGGCCCAGCCTCTTCGTGACTGCGTGCGTGCGTGCGTGCGTTCGTTGTGCGTGCATCGTGCCTCTACTTCTGCGTCCTGTTAGGGCTTCTGGAAGATCTTGGAGTCGCCAGGATGACCAGCAACGAGCAAACGCGCGAGCAGACGATCAGCAACGTCGAGACTGAGTATCACGAGATCAATTCCAAGAGCGCTTGGCCAATTATCTATCAGGTGAGAGAAGGAACGAGGGTGAAGGAAGGAAGGAAGGAAGCAGGAGGGAGGAGAGAGAGAAAGAGAGAAATGCCTCGACTCTTCCGCTCGACGACGGCTCTTCCGCTGCCATTTCCGACGATTTTAACGGACGACGTTGCCCTTCGATTGACACGTCGATGCCGGTCACCTCGTCGCTCTTTTTCTCTCGCTCCCTTTTTCCCAGTCTCTCTCTGTCTCTCTCTCTCCCTATCACTTTCGCTCTCCGCACGGACTCGTGTCTCGCGTTATCGCTTTTCCGAGATCACCTTTTCCTCGGTAGTATCGTGAAATACTCCCGTTATGTGTATCGGGATTTAGCGACGTAGATATGGAATATCTCTTCGTGTCAAACCGTGGCCGGTCTCGCTCCATTGCTCGCGTGAGAACATCGCCGGTTCGAGAACCGCTAGATCGCATATAAATGGGTAAAATTCCGCGGAAAAAGATCGCAAGATGAGAATATATACTCGCGCAAAAATATGTATATCGTCTACGTATTTTCTCTCTCAACGTTTTATAAAATTGACAATTTCAAATTGACATATCAACACGTGAGCTTGAAAGTTCTATTGATAATAATAAAAACAGATTCCAATTTTTTTTTTGCGTTCCTGTGAGTCTGAAATATACAATATGCTCGATAGAAACAATAGAGAAAATACGTCATTCGATGTTGACACGCGAATTCGCCGAACTCGAAACGACTTCCGCGCCGATATTATTCTGGGACTCGCACGATATTGAAATTCATCATAACCGGATCGATTTATTATAGCGAACTCCCATTACGCCGCATTAAAGACTCCTGTAAAGTTATCTAGATAAAAAAGAATAATGCAAACATTGTAAGTAATTAAAATTCGATCGTGATATATATTGTATAATTTTTTTTAGCAGAACATTATGCCATTGCATTTAGATATATTTTAATATGCATTAGTTGGTCTAGTGAAAATGATAAAATTCGGAAAAGCGATACATATTGATAAGTGATACATATTGACAAGCGGGAAATTGACAACGTATGTCTGTTTATATTCGACGGCGTGATTGTGCTCGCCAAGGTCAAGAGTTTCCAACTCGGAAATATGTATATAGTTCTAGTATTATATGTATTTAGCGAACACACGCAATTTCTCCGAAGCAAAGCGTGAGAAATTCGATGATGCATGATACACTCGAATGTTATAATTATTTCTTTGAAAGTTTTATCTTCCTTAATATCTTACTGATTTCCTGTAGTCTCAATGAATTTTATCTCACATGATATAATTTTTATCTGTGTCAGAAGAGTTATTCTTTATCAAAATAATCTCGTATATAAATTAGCATATTAATATATGTATGTGTATAATGACAGATGTATTATAAAATATAATGCTGTAAGATAAAAACGCAAAATTTAATATCATTAATGTATGTATAGAAAGAGTGTTATAATAGAAGTTCAACATTTTTTTTATTGCTTATTTCAATACAATGTGTTTGATTTATATGATTTATAATCAGTTATTTGATGCTATTTGCAAATTTGTGAATGATTTTTATTTACTTCACTTTGTAATTACATATTTTGGAGCAATTATTATAGTAGTAAAAAATTATATTATCTTAAGTTTGTATTATTTAAATTTATTTAGCAATGGTAAATGTACATTGAAGATTCAAATTAATAGCAAACTTTGAAATTTCAGAAAAATATGTAGAAATATACATAGAAATCTGTTACGCATTCACAAGCATTAGATTAAAATGTTGATCCACCTCTATTATATATATTATACACATTTATATTACTTATTATATATATACACACACACACACAATACTATGAAACATTTTTATAGATTTATTTGTAAAATAGCGGGAGATTACTTCTTTATATGTGCTTTACTTAATTTATTATTAATCACATGTGACTTCTAACATTTTCCAGCATATACGTAACGAATGTGCAAATTATGAGTACACATGCAATGAATCAAAAAAACCACAGAACAAAAACTTGAATCGCTACAGGGATGTGGCACCATATGATCACTCTAGAATTATTCTTCAAAGAGGTGTATGCGACTACATTCATGCCAATCTCATATCAGTAAATATTAAATTATATAAGAAATCTAATTTGTATAAATGGCCGACAAATGATAACGTAATGTAAATGTATTGTACCATTTGTATGTTAGATGGATCGTGCTCATAGGCAATATATCCTGACACAAGGACCCTTACCAAATACTGCTGGACACTTTTGGCTAATGGTATGGGAGCAAAATAGTAGGGCTGTATTGATGTTAAATAAGATAATTGAAAAGAATCAAGTCAAATGCCATCAATATTGGCCTCTGGATTCACATGAACCTACTATGACATTTGAAGATGTCGGTTTAAAAGTGGATTATGTCAGCAAAAACGAATCGTCAGATTACACTACTAGAACATTATGGTAAAAACAGATACATGTACATCATAAATTACATCATTCTCATCAAGCTTTGCTTTATAATTGACAATCACCCTTAATTTTCCTGTAAGCATAATTATAATGTTTTCAATGTTTTCTAACTTATGTACAGTATAACGGACTTGGAAACTAACGATAGTAGAGAAGTCTTACATTTTCATTATACTACTTGGCCAGACTTTGGAGTACCACAATGTCCAACGGCCTTTTTACGTTTCTTGGCAGACGTTAGGCAATCAGGAGCATTAGATCAAAATGTTGGTCCACCCATCATCCATTGTTCCGCAGGAATAGGAAGATCGGGAACATTATGCTTGGTTGATACATGCTTAGTACTGGTATGTTAAATACAGCAAACATTTTCTGATCTGAAACAAATTATTTTAATCTATTGTTAATCTACTAACTACTTGATTACAGATCGAGAAAAACGGTTTAAATGCTGTGAATGTGCGCGAGGTATTATTGGAAATGAGACGGTCTCGTATGGGTCTGATACAAACGCCAGAACAATTACGTTTCTCGTATGCTGCTATCATTGAGGGAGCGAAACAGTCGCCACTAGGCAATGCGGTAAATAATTCATAGCAGTAGTGATAATATTTATTAATCTATGCTTTATTTCTTGTAAAACATATGATTTCATTAAATAATACTTTTTAAGTAAAAGGCTATTTCAACAATAATCCGGTTAAATCACTGTAATCAAATTTAATCACCGACGTTCTTACGAAATTATCTATTACAGAATATTGAAAACAACGAGGTATTAAAGAATTATTATGAGGAGGTAAATAATAAAAATAATTCCTCATTAGAAAAAGATGACGAACCTCCTCCTTTACCACCAAGAACAGAATCTTTGACACGTAGTATGATGGCAGATACAAGTCCGGATGTATCGAGTGGTACTTTTATCTTCTACTTTTTCACTGTACAAAATTTTTTTTATATCAATAATGGCTTTAATGTTAATTACAGATGAATCAAGTGCACCACCTGATAAGCCATTACCGAATGAACCACCGAATCACGCAGAATTGCCTACAGATACGAAATCTATAAATTATACAAATGAACAAAGCACAGACAATGTCACAATATGTGAAGAAATCTCTGCCAGCGATACTGATAATTCTTTCCAGACAAATAGTCCTCCGTCCAATTCAGATGCGTGAGTAATAAACACGAATTATTTAAATATTTAATTTATTATAAGATACTCACAAATTTTGTTCTTTGAACAGAAAAGGGGAAGTACGTCGGCGCAATCGGGAAAAAAACGAACGATTAGCAGCGCAAGTGCGCGAGATGAAACGCCGACAAAAGGAAACAGAAGAATGGCAGAAGCTCAAGAGGTCATTATTTACGCCCCTTACAATAGGCATAGGAATTGGGATCGGTGGGGGTATCGTAGCGCTGTATTATTATCTGTACATGCGTAGTTAGATCTACCGCATTTAAAAGTGTCGTACGTACGTACGTGCGAATTTTCAATATTTGAATGACTTAGATAATCGAAAAAGGTTATTCTTAATACGCGATATTCTAATGCAAGATTAAATTAGGTTTAGTTTTTCGTAATCTGATCTTGACTAAAATATCTAAGAATAATCTTCGGAAGAAAAGTGTTCGGTATCGTACGACCCGCAGTATAATCGAGCATTGCAAACAGCTATATGCAAACAATGTTGTTTCCATTATATTGCAAACAATGTTGTTTCCATTATCGAAATAAGCAAAGAAAGAAAACGATAAGAAAAACAGAACATTGCTAAGAAGTATAATCAAGGTAGTATATTGTTAGAGTACGCTGCTTGTACGCTCGAACAATAATAATTGCAGAATCAGAAATCGACGAAGGCAGGAAAAAAGTGGACTTTCGATTTGTATTTTTATATTGTGATTTACTCGAGAAGTACCTAGAATGTTAGGCTGTATCATATGTTCTTCTCACAATTTTTTTGAAAACTCTTGAAACTGCTACTATCAATGAGCAAGTAGTTTATTTGACACGTGCTTACAAAAACGTTATAATGAAAGAATAAGAAGTACATAGGAAATTATTAGCTTCCTTCGTGTTTTTTTTTTGTAATTCTTGTAGATATATATTTGTCTAGATTTATCTTAATTATACAATCAACCATATAATTATGATTAAATCCCCAAATCTTATATAGGCTTCTTATTCACATTATAACGATAAGCTCATGTGTTACATATAGCCATATTCGATAAGAATTATGGTTATATGAAATTAAAATGAAAAGTCAGTTTTAATTTAAAAGACTACATTATATATTTTGGAAGATGATTTTGATTTTGTCAATTTCCGTAAATAATTCATGAATGCACATTTCTATATTGATATCCGATATTTTCCTTGTAATTTAATTAACATAACAATCGGTAACTAAGTAAAGCGCAGATCATATTTCTGTGATTTTTAATGAATCGTTTCTAAATATATAAATTAGGCTTACTATTAATAATGTATTTCAAGATATCAAACAAAATTACTTTAATTTATAATCTAAAATGAACTGAGATTTCCAAATGATTTTAAACTTATATTTTTAAATTACAAAATTTATGAATTTATGAATACAAAAAATAATTAATTACTTATAATGATAAATTCATAATTTAGTATTAAAAATATGGATTTAATTGATTTGGAAATATATATCTTTTAATTTCTTTAAAAAGATTTAATATCAATGTACTGTAATAATAGGTATAGAAAGAAATTGTTAAAAAGTTTTATTCTAGTTCTATATAGATGAATGTCTTTTTAATTACTTATCAATTGAAATAGATTCTATTATGCCTTATATCAAAAATATTCATAAAAAAGTTTAGATTTTATATATATTATATTGACACCTTATAAACTGGTGTTTCAAAGATGTTTTTCACTTACTACTGGTAATCTCACTTGAATTTTTTATTGTTGGGCTATGAGTAAGATATATTTTTCTTATTTGCGATCTTTTTATTTTTCTTTTTTGTTATAACAGAGATTTTATATTTATATTTTGTAAATTATGATCTGGGATATTATGCATTTGATCCAATTCATGTTAGAGCTTGCTATTTATATGAATCCTATTATTTTACATAGCAATATAGAATTATGAAAACAATTATTTTACTCTGTAACAAGACATTCCTAATATATTAGTTTTAAATTTTTCTTACATTTTTAAATGAAATGATATTCTGGACTTTAGATACATTAGAATCATGTGAAAAAATTAAGACATCTCTTTTATCAAAAAAAAGCTTCTCGTTATCATGTCCGATTATTATTTATTTATTTTTATTGTTAATTGATTAATAAAGTAGAAAAAAGATTCTGTCAGAAATTCCGAAATTATAAGAATGATAAATCATACATTGGTAGCAGCAAATGAATAGACGCGAGAACTCTGTATACAGCAAAGTGTAATTTCCAAGAAATATTAATGATTTCTGTATTATAGATTCTTGCTTTTAATTCTTTAAATCGAACCGTTCTCATGTATTCTATTTCAATATTCATATTTCGCTCAGAAAATTCGATAATGAAATTACATTAAATGTTAGAGAAACAGGGAAAAGTTTTAAGCAAAAATCTTAGAAAATGTGTATTTCAGCTCATCGCCCAATAGCATATATTACAAACTGTACATTGGGCGTTGGATAAAGACTGAGTATGTCTAATGACTTCTAGGAAGATGGAAGGAGGAAGTAAAGGAACGGTAAAATAATGAGAATAACAGTAAAATAACGAGAGCCCGCGTATTCTTATAAGTCGAGCTTTTATATAGATCATCTTGAGAGAAAGACTTGTCAGATCGTGTTCCACCCAAAGATGAAGCGTAATGAGAGAAGCGTGTATAGTCGGTACGTCATGATAAAACGTGCGTCACCCAAAGCGTATTTTCTACTTTTGTACGTTACTGCCGTTGGAACACGATCTCCCAACGAGGTTTTAAACACGTCGGATTTGCGTATATTGACGTGCTCTTCGCGTGATTATGGAACGGTACACGGCAAAAAAGAAAAAGAAAGAAAAAGTTGAAATAGAAGACGGAAGAAAACAAACGAGCAAAAGTACTCCACGCGGAACTCGAGGGGATATGCAGTATTTTTTATTGTCAACAACACATTTTAACTTTACGCACCTACAATATATTATTGTTATCTAATTTTCTCGAGATATTATTTATGTAACTATATATATATATATATATATATAAAACTGCAATCTCTCCTTCTCATTTTCTATCTCTCTCTCTGCGGCGATGCGATCAAGCAGTTAACGGCGCAATTAATCGTCATCGCGTTATTGAGAACAATGGCATGGGAAAACCTTTTGACCGCTCTATGACATCTTCGAGTCGAATTGAAATGTAATTTCGAAGATGACATTTCTGCGATTCCGAAATTCGCATTTATTCCATTGCCGTTTTATGCTCGAGAAAGAGCGGAGAAGTACGATCATAGACATTCATCTCCCTGGTTGTTGACGATCGCGCGAAGCTTCCGAAAGTGAGACATACGCTCACGAAAGTTCACAGATCATGAAGACACGGTGCTAATTAAAAGTTCCAAAACTGATCATGTGCGCTCCGAAGTGCATGCTTGTGTGTGCTATGTGTGTCTGTATGTATGTATGTATGTACGTATGTATGCATATGTGTATATGTATGTATGTATGTATGGATATGAGAAACAGGAAACGCGTGCATGAGAGAATAAATGCGTAGGAGGATGGGAGCGGTCGTCGATGTTGATCGTGCAACTCAAGCATTATTTGAGAAAATTGTGAGCGCAATTTTAGCACATTATTATTGGAAATTGATTTCTCTGATATAAAATATTTTCAGACATATACAATAATATATATATCTTTTCTGTCTTTATTATATAATTCTATTAATTTTGTAATTTTTACAAAAAGAAAGAAATGTTATCTTTTTAATTAATTCCCTAATTATTAGGGGTATGTATATATTTTTTTTACGCGTGATATAATCTATTATTAGTCTCTAAAAGCGTCTGACTGAGCTTCGCAATCAGCATCGGGCAAGACGAAAGAATAGATCCAGCGACACATTCTTTTATATTACTCGTCGTGTACAATAGACATAACGTTATACATACAAACAAAACACAGAAACATAGCTAAGTGCCTACTCGTACAAACAAGGGGAAGAAAGTGAAATCATAGCGATCGGTAAATAATGTAACAGAATCGATCTTTCCCCTTTTTGAAAGAGCATAGTCACCGTGGAGAAGCGAATCTTTCTTAATATATATCTGACAATATATAAGTAGATAATTATCTAGTAAATTTATCAGATCGTATGATTTATTCGAAATGGTATTTTTTCGGTATTCTCATTATATTTTAAGTTAGATAATATTAAGATATTGTATACTTTTTTCAATTTTCCCTATTCTTTTACATATATACTCTTTATAAATTGAATATAGTTTTTATAAATTGTATAGCTTTTTTGTAATCAAGAATATAGGCCTTTTGTAAATTTATTTTTTAATCGAAAAATTTAACACTAGTACGAAACCATTCTAATAAGAATGCAGGTCTTATTAGTTTCTCACTACATTTTATCTTAAATTAAATACATTAACCTTTCATGAGATGTAGATCAAGGAAAAAGGCCATTTCGAATGAATCAATTTATCATAATTTCCGGATTGCCGAGCGATCGTGCTTCAGGGTATATATATATGTATAAAATACGCGAGCGACGATTCCGAGCTTATTTATCTCGAATAGAAGTCTATGTTAGAAATCGATTAAGCGCGTTCGATCCTGCGCGAAAAAATTGAAGCTCCTGAAACTTTTGTCTCTTCAATTTAAAGCAATATACATGGATCATGATGATATCGAACAATTATGATTCGTTCGATCGATACGCTTGGCAGCCGGATTAATACTAATGGTAAGAATCGAGTGTATGCATTAGGCAGATGTAAGAATGGTAAGACAGGGAAAATTAACGAACTTTGATTCTCTCTCTTAGAAGCGCATCAGCTAGAACATACATTTTGTAGATCACGCGATGTCTTTTAGTCTACGTTATATACAACGGGGCCTTTTTACAGTTATACACTGACGATTATCCATCGTCGAAATGCGAAAAGACATGAATTTACCTCAAGATGAAAAATAGATAATTGTATGTAAACTGTGCTTCAAAAGATTGAGACAAAAGTATGTGAGAGTAAAAAGAGCTGGACTTATTCGATTAATCGGCTGTTGAGAAATTAGGCACTTTATAAAAAATAAATGATTGTATTTTTCTATAATTTTTAAAATTTTATCAAATATTGCAAGAATGAAAGAAAATAAAAAATTCCAAAAAGAATAAAAAATTCTAAAAGTTCTAAAATTTCATAGGAAAATATGAACTATAAGAATGTAAAAACCATATATTCATATCCTTATTACACTTTTATATACATTAAAAATATTTTGAAGCTCTAAGAAACAGCCGAATAATCGTATAGCGTCGGTGAGGATAACATTCCTCTCTAGCCCATTCTGCATCCTGCAATTCGTATTGTAGTTAATTACATTTACGGTGTATCGTTGTAGGACTGTAGCGTCGAATGGTATTTTATGTATAGAAAATTGGATACGCACAGTAAAAGAAGGAAAATGGAAATTGGAAGCGTATTTAAGAGAAAGAACTGGGCGAAGAAAAAAATATAGTATACGTGAAGAGAGAAGCGAATATGCAACGACGGAGAAAAATTGTCACAATTGATGAATCGTAATTTAATTATCAGCAAAAGAAACATCAAAGAAATTTTACTGACCATTAACTTTATTATTGTTTTTAATAATATAAATTTTTCATAATTTAATCTTGTCAGAGCTAACGATGGCACTCGTCATGAGTGAACGTGTTTATCGAGAAACCTAATTGTCGAATATAATTTTTCTATCTGATTCTATTTGATTCTAATAGAATCTATTCGTACACTTAATTAGCCAACATGATGAACTAATCTTTTTGTGATATCAGATCGCTCTCTCTATCGTTCCGCTCCTTCGCCCGAGTTTTAGAAGGAACAACAACTTAAACTGATAGGCACTGAATGATTACGAAAGACTTGCATGCAATAAAACATTTATACGGAAATAATAGAATGGTAAGATCGATGATCTCGCCAACATATATATGTATCGGATCGAAATGATCGTCTTTTATAAGACACTTGACAGATATTTCACGCAACCGGAGCAGATTAGCATTATGAGAATAGAATTTTTCGCATTGTAGATTTCATATCCTAATTTTTAATTACGAGACGGAAATACGTAATTCTTACAATGTTGTCATCGTAAATTTATTTTCGCAAAACATATTTTCTCTCTGTGGACAGTTCGGATTCATGTACTATGGATTCAGGTAATACAGATGTTTTTTACAAACCATCGATGCAACTGTAGTGGATCCCAGACATGAAAAGACATTTCAAATTATTTAACCCGATACTTTTTTGATTTTTATATTTGGTTCCACATAGAAAGAGGTAGTTTATTTGATTAAGACTATGGTGTGCAGTGAAATTATTAATTATTTGTTAAATCAAGAGGGGAGATTTTATTTTAAACTTTTTTAATTTTTAGTCAGGCGATTTTTTATCAAAAAATGTCATGCTTATCAGAAGTCGCAAAAAAATCTTAATTCCTTATTAATAAAAATTAAAACATATTTTATATATATTTCATATATTTATATATATTTGTATCTATATGTTATATTTTATTCATTAGCAATGTATTCGCTTTTTTATTTCGAGGATTGATGACTCCTGGTATGCATTAGTTTTTACATTATAATTTCAACTATCGTCAACAATAATAGTTGTACTAATATCAGTATAATTATTTGAATCTCTCGAATAACACTTTGGATTAAACACAAATATCATTTTCAAGAATATAGAGATGCTGATATCTGATGATAGTACATCTATTGTTGATGTTTTCCTCCATCGATTAAATCGTTTATTCCGAAAATTGTGTAAATATAATATTAAAAAATTATTTTATTATAAATTTTATTTTAAAATCGTCACATTTTGATAAAATTTGCAATTTTACAGAATTTTATGAAATTATATCATTTTCGAAATAAACGGTTTGTGACCTTAATCCTATCCTATCTCGTAATCTCGAATCTACCCCAATTAATCACATAAACCCCAGAATATTTTACATAGACGTCCAGCGATGCGAATCGTACTCTATATATTAAAATTATTATTTGGCGGAAGTATTTCAATCCTTATCATCTGTCGTCTCGTACTTAGCCTTTTCCGTCCAATCGAAGCCTAGAAAGATCCTTATCTGATGATTTCTTTCAGATCAAAAAGCGAAACTACGGAAAGTGGCGAATCTGTACATGAGGAGGCCGAGTCCACGATCTAAATCGAAAGAACGAAAGATAATCACAATAATTCTCCGTTTTGTGCCTTGTCACATTTTAAAGGGAACCACGGGAAGACACGGGAATCTGTTTTAATACAGTGACACAATGCTTGACAGAAAAATAAATCAGATTATTTGCTACATAAAAACAACACGATGTACGTGTATTTGTTTCGTGTCGAATTCTCGAGTCCTAAATTATAAATTCAAGGGCGAGCAACTCCCACAATTTTTATCCTCTTCCAGTCTTTGCAATCTTGCGCGCACACAAAAGCTGAAAATAAAGAAATTTTATGAAACTTATGAAATTGTGCAGATAGTTTATTTTAACATATATTTGCAGATAATTTATTTTAATATAATACCTTAAATATTAGAATGCATTAAATATTAAATATTAATCTACTATAAAAAAAGAGAAATTTTTAAAATCAAGAATTTTTAAAAAATAAAAATTGGATAATACAAATGCATTCATTAAATTATATAATTTAATTTCTTAAAGAAATATATTTTATTAAGAAATATGATAATTAATGAGAAAAAATAAATCACCAAAAAATTACTACTGTTACTTACTACTGTTCACTACATTTTTTTATATTAATAAAAATTGCATTTTTCATTGTACTATTATTACAAGTTGGATGTCTTTTTCTTTATTTGAATAATGATTCATTATGATTCACTATATTGATGCGAACAAGATTAAATTTTCACATGTGCAATGATGTGTGTAACAATGTGTAACAATGTGTAACATCGCGTAGTGTTCTACAGAGTTCTCTGTTATGTCATACATCACGTGAAGAACAGTCTAAAAACAGTCACATCTTACACAACGAATTGTTTTGCAAGAATCTATTTTGTATAATAATAAAATACACTAGAATTTATTCTTCTTATTTTTCGTTTAAAATTAGCAATAATAAATATATAAATAATAAATATAATACATTAAATATTAAAATTTTGATTTGATAATAAAATTAAACATTTACTTTAACTTAAACTAAAAAAGTGAATTAAGAAAAATTGATATATATATATATATATATATATATATATATATATATATATAATTTAGATATAGTTTACGAATTGAAAGATATATGTATATTAATACATAAAGAGTTATAGATGGAGATATTTATTCAAAAATAGATTCTCACATGAAATGCATGACAAGTAAAATTTCTTAAATTTTTTCATTTTATTTTGTTGGGTTTATATTCGAAAATCTGCGAGCTAGTCGAAGACCTGCGACGCGCGAATTGATGTGCTAAATTATCAGTATTTTGCGTAAGCAGAGTATCAAGGGAGTATATAATACCGTTCCCTTGTAGCCAAGTTAACACCTGCGAAATCGGCAACAAAACAAGAAGCAACGTAGTACGCCCAGGATAGATCACGGCATGTATCATACCCACCTGGATTTACCAGGTTAATTATCACCTATCGTAGAACGTCATTGTATAATTAGCGTGCTCTGGTTTGACGTCATTGTTTCATATAAATACCGAATGCTCGATCTCGGTCACCATAAAGTCGCAAGAGAACTATCCTGCTGCTCCTATTAGAAGATACTTTTAGGAGATACTCCACGTTGAGACATTCGTTTCTCCTTTGAGTAACATAATCAGCTTACTTCGAACAGAAGCGATCGTTATTTCTTTGCGGAGATCAATAATCCGAGATTTCCAGATATAAAATGGTAAGCAGTTTTCTTCGTATTTAGTTACAGACCATGTAATTTAGAATCATATAATGCTGCATCATGTAATCATCATGTTTCTTTCTATTGAATATACAGTTTTTGTATTACTAGTACTAATAAATTTTTTCACGTAACTTATAAAGTATTTGAAAAAGATATTTTGTGTAGAAACTAAAAAGAGGTAAATTTTAAATATAATATTATTTATATACAATTAAAATATGTTTAAGAAATAAATTCTCTAATTGGACTGAGATTATTTTTATATTTAGTATTTAAAAAAATTATTAAAAGCATTCGTTCTATTCCATCAAACATTTATTTACAAATTATATTGAAATATATTTTATATTGAAATTTATTTCCTATTTAGCTTAGGAGTTTTCTTTTTTTGTTGAAGTACCTATAATTTTATGATATAATTTTATTTCGGACTTGTAAAATTTTTTTAACTCTGAGTATGGATTCTATGTAAATCTTTGGAGTTTATAAGCCAAGAAATGCAGTTTTTTCTTATTTGCGGTTTTTCTTTTTTTAGATGGCTGCCAAGTTTGTTGTCTTCGTTCTACTGTTCATCGCCTGCTCTTATGCCTCACCCTTAAGGATGGCGACCATGTATGATTCCCTATTTGCCGTACCAGTCTTCATTCAGGAATTGGATGAAACTCAGCCTGCGATCGACGAAGAACCAATATATCCATTAAACGACGATCCTAAGATTATGATGGATGACACCGAGAATTCTTTTAATATCAAAAAACGCAGTATCGAGGAAACAAATAATGATAATGATCTCGAGACTGCAGCTGGTACCAACATTCTTCGTCCTCTCTTCGTTTATCGCCAGCAGGTCGCGTATCGACAACGCGCCAGAGATGCAATTCGACGAGGAAGACGAATATACACAGAATAAAAATGAATCAATTTGTGAAATAATGTTGTTTGCAAATACTTACAAACATGTTTATGAAAAAAGACGCAAGCTTGATGACGAAGCGGAAGTACGAATTTAAAAACCGAGCACAAATAAAGCTGTTGTCTTGCCGATGAGATTTACAGTTAAAAAAAAAATACGAAAGGGAAGAAAAGAACACAGGGTCGTCAATAAAAGAAAGAAGCTTTTGAAAAAAAAAACGAACGGACCTTTAAACGATGGTTTGAGGGATATTCAACTCCTAGTAATTACGTTAAAAGGTTGTGGACCTCGATGCTTTGTCGGACATTAATGGCGTGAATTAACAGAATTTGCTGACTCAACGAGGCCTTTTTTTAACAATGTCGGAATTACAAGAGCGACTGGAAAAACCAGAGAAACTTTAGATTTTTTTACGATCACATACGATCTCTTTTATAAATTATAAATTTAAGTCAGATTAAAATTAAGTTTTTTTGATAGCTGATAAATTACATATTTTCTCTTAATTCTATCGTAAGTTTAGATTAGTTTAAGATTATTAGTAAAAGTAATATTGAAAAGGCTGCTTACCAAAGTTGTATTTCAGAATAGTGCAAGCAAAAATTACATTTATAATTTAGTTGATGAATGTATATATGAGAATGTATATTGTGATATGTGATTTCTTTGATAAAATGTTACATGTATAATTGAGCGAAAATACGTATGTATAATATTTTATAGAAATATATAAAACACCTTTATAAATATTGTTTATTTTTTATTCGTATATTTTTCCAGAGAGAGAGAGAGAGAGAGAGAGAGAGAGAGAGAGAGAGAGAGAGAGAGAGAGAGAGAGAAAGAGAGAGAAATAAAATTATAATTTAGAATATCGAGATATTATTTTATATATCTACATATTTATTTATTTTGTTTGAAATTTATATTTTTTATATTGATATTACCTTCAAAGTATTATTATCATTAATCATTCATATCTGTTCGTTTAAAACAGTTGATATTTTATTTTAATATATTGATATTATTTGAGATATATTAATTCTATATACGTTATAAATAATTGCTTATACCTAAAATTAGAATCTGTTGTTAATATCTGTTGTTAATACAATATACGTAAAAATGTTATAACTATAAAATTGTGTGAAATTGATAAATATTAGAATTTATTATTTAATTTCATAATGAATGTCTATAATCAAAATATTTGTTATTTAAAAAATTAAAAAAATTTTTTAATTAAAAAGAGTTTATTTTTAAAACTTTTTTAAAGAAATTATTACAAGTACAGTTACAAGTACCACCAATTTTTTGGAGAAGTTATTTTTTCTACTTATATATAAAAGAATGAAATATAGAACATTGCTAGTAGAATCGCTTTAAAAATAATTTTCTGAATCAATGAACATTACAATCGAAGTGCTAATTACAGTATAAGAATTAAAAATTATCTGCTTACATCTATTGACACAATATTACAATATTACGCAATATTCTTCTAAAAAGATTTTTTTTCCATTACATTATTTTTCAGAACATGTCCACTGTAAAAAGTTGATTATATACAAATCTTCTTTAAAGAACGAGAAAAAAAAATCAAATCTTTAGAATTTATTTTCCTGGAAATACAGGATATTTCAAGTAATTAGGAAAAGGTTCCCTTCTATCGTTTGCCCGATATCTTTGATTTGCAAACTGCCCTCGATTCCAATAAGGATATTGAAACCGATATCTATCTTCAGCTACGTTAAGATCACCCTCGAGGTTCGATCTTTCTCGCGATGAACCAATATTTTCGCTCTCGATGTCAGACTCGGCGATGTTCTCGACCGATGAAGGATTAGAGGAACCTGTATTGCTTTTTTCAGCCTGGCGAGTCAGTCGAGCCAATATTATATTAGAAAGATCCAGTATATCATCCGATCGATTTTTGTGATTTGACGGAGACGCATCATCTTCCCGGTTCTCAATCCGTTTTACATCCTTCGTATAGTTGTCCGACAAGCTGACGGTTGGAATTGTGGTTGCATTTGATATTTTATTTAAATATAAAGTCGCAGGCTGTTCTCCAATTTGAACCGCACCTTTCATGTTGCTCTGGCTCACCAAAGAACATTCAGAATTATTCTTTACACTCTTTGACTTTAGTATATTTGCCTGAGGTTTTTCGATAATGTTTCTTGTGTCGTATCCATTGCTCCTCGAAGTTTCAGTTGTCGTTGACGAGCTGGTGGATGCCGATGCCACTAGAATTGCGAGAGAGCAGAGAACGAAGAAGATACTAAAGCGTTCCATTTTATCCACAGATTTCTCGAGTGTAAAGAGTATAATTCCTTGTTGCAGACTAGCGATTCAGGAAGTTGAAACGAGTCTTTTATAGCTCGTTATCCAGGACTCGTTACTAAGTTGTTCGCTAAACATCACCGAGTCTCGGAATATCATTAGGAATGTGCTAACGATAAGTAAAATATTCGTTCAGTCGACAGTTGTCGAAGTATCGCAATATACATTCTCATATCTTATATCTAATATCATATATTTTCTGTTTAAAAAAGAAAAACTTATGAAGATGTATATGAGAAATTACTTATCTCATAGAAAAAAGAAATAAAATAATATATTTAGTTTCTCTTCCGCATTCTTCTCTATTAATTTTAATTGTCGATAAACTATAATAAATTATTAGGCGCAATTAATGTAAAAATGATATAATCATTTTATACAAAATGAAAATACGTAAAAGTAAAAGATACAAATTTTTATAACTCACTGGCGAAATTAATTATTGCATAATTGACGATTAATGATCTTATTTATGATGCAGCATCCGACAAAAGTATCAGTTTATCGCAAGATTGATACTCACGTTTATTATCGAAGTGATGATAATTATTTCAGCACGTCGTATAAAACCAGTACGGCCCGTTATACCTTGACAGAGCTGGAAAATCCTTGGCAGTCAGTCTCATCGAAGCAGCAAGAGAAACTTCGCATAATTTCGTCATTGCAATGAAAGACGATTCGCTGGTACGTTTTTATATCAATCGTGACATTTGAAAAGTGCAATTTTCATAACATGTATAAATTTATATATATATATATATATATATATATATATATATATATACACTAATTAATACAACGTTTTCTATGTCAAAAAAATGATTTACATGAAATCACAAGAAATATAAGAAGTATAACTTATTGAATTTTAAAGCAATTTAAAATCGTCGCTTTTTTTGATCTAAAATGATATATTAGAATATATATACATATATAATTAATCTTAACAATATATCAATTTCATATCTTAACTTTTTTTAAATATTTTGTATTACAATCTATATAATTGTATTATATCTCGATCATTATTGATTAAATTTTTTATTATTAAATTAAAAGTTTTAAAGAATAATAAACTCTATAAGAATATAAACTCTAAAATTTTAATAAGCAATAAGACTTTGTTTCTTTAATTAAAAGTTATACACATAAAAGGTCTAAAAAGCATATATCTAATAAATTGATTACATTTTCTTTAGATGGGAAGTATCATGTTTTCCATTATCTTGCTATTGTTTGTTGGAACATTGAACGCAAAACCTGTGGATTATGAAGACGTGGCGAATTTATTGCCAACAGAACCTCAAACTACGAACGATACGTTGGCTGCTATTGTGCAAGATCCGGTGGTGCAGGATGCTGTGCAAGATGCGGTCGGTAATAGATCCTTAGATGGCTTGGTAGTAAAAAAGAAAGTCTTTGTTATGCCCGCTACTGAACCTAACAAGGTATAAAAATATCCTAAATAATTTTTAAAAAATGTTAAAATTAATATAATATTAATACATATTAATCCAATATATTTTCGAAGAAGATGATGTCTAAGAATATTGCTGTTAGCAATAGTTTAATTATCATCGTTGATTAGGACTGTTAGTTTTTATTAACGATGACAGAATAAGATGTGATTAATCACTTATGTAACAGTAATTCGAAAATGTCAATTAGAGAGAAAATGAAAGAAAATAAGATAAATTTATTATAATATAAAATATAATTGATTTTTTTTTCGTTGTTTATCATATTATCTCTTTTTTAAGGTGATATCGCAACGTGCGCAGGTTCTCGTCGTTCCCATGAAGAATTTAGAAGATGTGAGAAAAAATATAACCGAAACTACAAATGCGGGAACAGATGTGAATGGCTTGGCATTTACTGATATCCAATCTATTACCGAAAACGATGAAGATGGACATGAAAATTCGGTAATGCTACGTTAATATTCAAATGCGCAAATTTATTTATTTATTGATGCATTATTTGGATCTATTGATGCATTATTTTACTTTAATTTTTTTAATGTGTTTCTCTTAAAATCTCTTTCTTTTTATTTTGAAAATTTTTTAATAATTGACATTTTCTTTTCATAACTAATTGATTATTTCCAAAAAGTATACTAATGACATATACTAAATTTTAGATAAACAAAGAACTTGTTTATTGTACCTTGGTTAACATTATAATTCAAGCTTAATATGATGCAAAAAATTCGAAAACAATTTTTAAAATTCTTTATATTATATTTTATACGTAGAATATGCAATTTATCTTTCTTTTGCATGCATATAATCATTTTAATTCGATGTAGCAAATTCGTTGTTGTATTTTATGGATTTGACGACTAAGTCATCACAGCGCCTGCAGTCACTCGCAATTGCCGAACATATAATCTTCCAAAAAAAAGGAAAAAATGAAAATAATTTGTTCTATACATCACAGCATGATGATTTCTACAAGGCATTAACTGAAGTTTCTAAGACGACACGGAAACCGATGTTTCCTATTGATAAAACACCGCAAGAAATTCCATATCTCGTAGTAAATCCGACTCAGGAAATAACACTTCCGGAACATTCATCGCCCGCAATATCGGTGCCGATCATAGCAGTTCTTGATCCCGCAAAGATTTCTGATGATAAAATTGACGTACCGATCATGACAACATTATCAAGAGATGATGCATTAAAGAACCAATTAGAGAACGAACGCGACGAAATTCAAGGAAATGTTCAAGATTACATTGATGAAAACTTATGGAGTGTGGATCCCAATAATTGGCGTCTCACTTCTTCCCTTTCAAAGGTTAATCGATTTTCACTATTTTCAAGAAAATATTCTTTGTAAAGCGTTTTCTGTTTTATTTTTTTAGAAAATGTAAAATTTTAAAGTGAGATATATTCTACAAAGATAACTTTATATTATATTATATTATATGTAATGTTTTTTTCTATTAAATTATAATTCTAAAATAATTCAAATAAATTTTAATTATATTCCATATCAATATATAAGAAGAAAATACACCGTTGCATAAAATAAAATTTATCACCAAGATGCTAAAATATTTGTGATACTTCTTTGATATTTCAGAATTTCAATAAAGCGTAACTTTTATTTTATCTAATTAATTATTATTTGGAAAATTAGTTGATGTTAAAAAATAGAAAACTAAAATAAAAAAATTGAAGGAAAATTAAAAGATATTTCCTCATCTAGATGCAGGAATCTTCACTATACAAACCGACAATGACCCAATATACGAACGAAAGTCCGTTGCCAATCGCAATGCCTCGTATTGATATCGCAACACCACTATTTTGGGCCTCAGATGCGGATACTAATTATCCTAAAAATTCATATGATATGGATGTCGCTGCAGATATTGTTTTCAGACCGCTCTTTAGATATCGACAGGAAGCACAAGAGAGATCTTATAAAAGAAGCTCGACTTATCGAAGATACAATCCCTATAATTCTTATCCGAGACGCAACTATCAATATAAATCTCGATATTATTATTAATATTAATATTATTATTAATATTAATGAATATTCTTACTATTATAATATTCTTATTGATGTTCTTATTTGATACTATATAATATACTATATATATTATAAATATTTTCTTATGATATTAACAATATTAAGTTAAGCTATAAAAATACGTATTATGTAAAGCTGAAATTATTAAATGTATTATTTATATATTAACTTTCATATATTTTTAAATCGAAAAATGATAAAATATATATATAATATTGATTAGTACCTTACTCAGATTATTACTAATTTTTGTAATAGAATAACATTACACAATATTTTAATTAAATTAGTATACAATACAAATATGTACGCACAATTCATGTATTTGTTATCTATTTTATTATTTTAATTATTATTTATCAGTTTTCATGAAATGATACACAGGCTCTCTAATATTATTCCTTACATCTTCCTATATCCTATATGTTATTATTGTAAATTCAAAAATATATTACAATTTTTTAAATTCTTTGATGGTTGTATCTTCAATAAAACTGTTAAATTACTGCATAATTGAACGACTTTTATTCATTTAGATTTTAATCCATATGAAATAGCATATAATGTATATTGAAATATCTAATCGGCATCATGAAAAAAAAAGATAGCAAATTCGAGTAATCCATTTTTTATATCTTTTATTTTAAAAAGCAAAAAATTATTAAATGCATTAATTAGAATATGAAATATATTTCAAAAATAACGTTTTAACAGTACATTTTGTCATTTCATTCTTTCTTGAAATATTTTTGCGATGATTAATACAGCATATAAATAGGCAATTGTATATAATTATCGTTTTATTTATTTGCATCTCAGTTTATGCGTCACAGTCAAAGTTGAAATTGATTTTTATTGAATTTTATTTCTCTATCTACCAATAAATACAAGTTTTTCTCATATTATGTATGGATTTTTAGAGTAAAAAGTGTATATATATACATATATATATATATATATATATATATATATATATATTAAATAGTTTCGAATTTACCGCTAGAAGTAGAAACTTTCGAATTAATTTAGTAGTTTATTGGACACTATTTCGAGATAAAGCTCTAAATCATTTATCTCTCACATATAAAGTGCACATTTGTATGCGTATTTTGTAATTTATAAATTTGTATGTGCATAAGTTAACTTTTAACTATTTTTAAAAAAGAAACAAAAGTGGTACATGATTCTATTTTAGAAAATAGTATTACATATATAAAGAAGCAATATATATGCGTATCCTAATTTTTGAATCTTATTATTGATAATTAATGTAAATAGAATTGAGCAGTATGTGATAGATCAATTTTCTTAGAAACTTTTTAGTAAAATTATCTAATTGCTAAATAGCATCTTCTAAAATTAGTAATTTCTAAAACGTTTTATTCCATACAGAAGTAAAACATTATTTTATGTTAGTGATAGCGAATTATTATTATTATATCTATATTTTCTATAATAATAATTAATTATAACAAATTTATCGCATATAATAATGAGAATTGAAATATTATTATCTAAATATTATTCATTTCTCCCTTTAATAATGATTTGCTTAGCGTTAAACATGTGTTTGTATAACAGAAAGATCTTTGTATATAGTATAATTAGGAAATTTCTGAGACGATAATAAAATCATGGATATTAGTCAAATAAGTCGCTCTAATTAAACGAATTATTCGGTGAATGATCATTAACGTTCTTACTGGGAACAAGATGACAAAAATTATTGTAATCTATAGTAAACGTGTCATCGTTAATATCCTTGAGACAAACAATCACTAGTTCTTCTAATCATCTATTCATTCATACGTAAGATAGTGGTTGTCTAACTTTTCACGATGTTCCAAAATCTTCGAGATTGCGGATTCGTGTAAAGAATATCTTGTCATAACTTTCTTAAAATAAAATTTATAAAATATAAAATTTTATATGCAGCATAATTTGCTAAATAAAGAGAAAAAGAGACAAAAAAATACAATTGTTTCATTATTTTTATATCATGATACATAACTTCTGTGTCTATGTATAACAGAATTACTTTCACACATTGAGAAACACTGTCACGAATCATCAATATTAGGAGAATGGAAAAACCGTTTGCATATGTGACATGTGTGAATTGTACATGCGTTTAGTGATCATTAAATAGATGTTTAACACCTGCACAATTCACTGTCAACTAACAAGGACAAAAATTAATTATTCTTCGTTTACGGTAAGATCAGAGATAGTTATGTGATATCTCTGAATCATCGTGAAATGACAAAATGACAAATTAAATTCGTTTCTAGACTATAATTATTACTTTTTCGTAATTATGATATTTTTATATTACACACACACACACACACACACACACACACACACACACACACACACACACACACACACACACACACACACACACACGCACACAATTTATTTTTAAAAGTTTCATGTTCAATTCATTTTATATGAGAAGTCAATCTAAAACATATTTAAAGCTTACTTTATTTTATCAATCTTTATTAATATAATTTCCATAAGATAAACATAGCATTTTCGGGCTTTTTACAGAACGGAATAGCAGCCGAAAATTTGTTTCCTTCGACATATTTTTTATTTTTTTATCGAGGACTTTTACCTCTGTGTTCATCTCAGAATAATAAAAAAATATTGCGAGTCTTTTACCCCATTCATGCGGTTTGTTTACGAAGATGATTCACTGCAGTACCGAAGCGATGGCATCTTTACCAGGAATAAGACCGCGCTCTTGCTCTACAATGAATCTGCATATCGCAGGCTCCCCATATGAGAGTAGCTAATTGCATGCGTTCTTTGAGATAGCAGGCCGCTTTACGTATATAACCAACGCGCGGTCGATCTTTTCCTTCAAACGTCGCTTAAGAGTCCGAGCAGGAGCTAAGTGAGTCGCAAGCAGGATATCCACGACAGGAGAGAAGAAAGCTACATGATGAGATTGATATTGATGGTAAGAATAAAAATAATATAATTTATATATATAATTCTATTTACTATATAATTAATTTTCTTATGTTAGGCTATATTTTTTAAATATTCTTGATTGGATGTTATTTGGAATGTTTTATAATTCAAATATTATATATTACGCAAAAGCTGTAATCATTATTATACATTAATTTGATTCTTTATGTCTTCTTTATCAAATCGGCAATCAAATAAATATTTTTAGTGTGACGCGAAATCGAAGGCGCGGTTATAATTATGTTAAAAGATAAGATTAAACTAACTGTTAACCTTTTTCTATCAAAAATATAACATACTAATTATATCAATTTTGTAATGACATACATGATTATAATTCGTGATATCTTCCAAAATTTTACTTTTAATTTTAATTATGTCATTAATTATGTGTTTTATTAAATCTTATATTTTTATTAAATCTTGATTTAAATTTTCAACTTTCTTATATATAAAGAATTTAAGTGTTTTTTAAAATTTATCTTGATTAGAATTTCCTGAACTATAACGGGCATAATGTTGAGAAAAGTACTTTGCCAATCAGTAAAAGTAGAAATCGTAAACATTGAAAAAATGTCATTTTATTATAACGCTGAAACATCGAGCAAACAGGTTATTATCGAATCTCGTTAAAAGATCTCACTGCCCAAGAGATTGCAGACGTGACATTTTATTCTAATTAAGTAAATGCCATTGGAACGCATAAAAATACGTAATCTTCCGCATTTTTATTAAGGCATTGGGATTAAGATTATCCGTGACAGACCACAGAAGATAACGTTTATCTGTTGCGTCATATAACAAAAATTATATCAAGAGAGTTTCCGTAGAAGAATCTAAGTACACACAACAATCTCTCTCTATATTTACCTTAACTTGATATGTATAATACGAATTTATAAAATATATTACAATATAATTTTTAACATATCAATATTTTTTATTTTTTTTCTTCTAAGCATTAAAATTTGTTTTTGTTAAAATAATATAATTTATATTTAAAAACAAAAACACTATCAAAAAAACTTAACATTTTCATAAATAGTTGATACAAAATCATAATTGATATATTGTGTAAATATTATTAATTTATTTTTCAGTTATTTTTATTAATTGTTTTGCTGAGTTTGAATACGGCTCAAGCTGAACACAGCACAAATGTTATATCGGATTCCACTGTTCGAGCAATCGATGAACCTGATTGCCCACAATCACACAAATCTTCGGATAATAACAAGCGTATCAAACGCCTGCAAATCCGTAATCAAGCTGGATTAGACGGTAAGGTGCAAAAAATTCATCTGGAGTTTGACGAGGAGGATAAACCGGGTATTCACGCATATGGTCTACCAAAAAAAAGCTTACAAAATAATGGCATTATCGAGAGAATGCATCTTGGAGAGGATCGGATCGATGATGTCTTAAAAAATGGCCGATTGGTAAATATTATTTTTGATTGATCAGTGTAACATATATTTCTGAATACATAATTTGAATTTTCGAGATATCTTTGAGATTTTCTATTTCTTAAGGTATTGTCTAAAAGAAAACATCAAATATATTTAAGAATTATATTAATTTAAATAAGTGTAATACGTAATAAGAAACAGAAAAATATATCAATAAATACAATTTCATTCAATTATTTTGTTATATCAATACAATAAATACATATTAATTCAAATTAGCTTAAAAATATCTACCTATATTTTATAAGGAAATTATACACAATAAAATATATCATATTATGTGCATGTATTATATATGTCATCTCTGATAAATCATTGTATTTTTTTAGGTGGAGGCCTACGGAATACCAAAGAATAACATGGAGACTAATGGTTTTATTGAAAGACTATCTTTTCCAAGCGCTGATCATCAGCTTGCCACATTGAGACCGCGACACGAAAACATCAGAGTAAGGAGATCCGTTCGCACAGGATCCGAAAATAAAATCGAAAAAAAGATAACCGATGAGACAGAAGACATGGAAGCACAGGAAGGCAAGGTCTTCAGGCCATTATTCGTCTACAGACAACAAGTGGCCGCCAGAGAAAGACGGAAGCACGCAAGGAATGCGCACAGAAATCATAGGCATGCGATTCATCAACCTTGCTATCATTGACAAGTGGCCTATTGATCTTACCAAGAAGAGCGTAAACCTTGACATGTTCTTCATTCAGAAATCAAGCTAGATTTACACTAGATTTCCTAGTAATAATATGCGCGAATGTATTGATATAAAATACTTTTATTACCAAGTCACATTAATTCTTTGAATAGAGATTTAAATCTAGTTTTATATTGTTAAAAGCCTATGTATATCATCAATTGTATTTAAATAGTTGCTTCAACTATAAATCATTAGAATAATAACATGACACATATTTTCTTAAAAATGAACCTTGCAATTCATCTAAACATAATTTTGTTCTTTCCGATACCAAAAAGTATTATAGAAATTTATTAATATTAATCTTAAATAATAATATTTTAACATATTAGAATATTACAAAGTGCGCGCTATTAATTCCTTTTACTATGTAATGTAATCTGAAAAAATATATATATATATAGGAATAATACACAATTAACTTAATATAATTATATAATTATATACATATAATTATGTACATAATTATGTACATAATTATATACATAATATAATTATATACATAAGTGTATTTAAATATATATAATTATAAATAATTAATTGGATGGAATAATTGTGTGGAATTTAGATACACATTATGCATAATAAGTGCGACTTTATCGGCTTGTTTCTTCTTATTAAAAATTATACAATATTCTATATATAACTACGTATCCATAGTGTTACGTAAATATAAGAGAAAATAATTTAATATGAATAATATTTAATTTATCTTTTATATATATGTTAAATAATATGTAAAATTTATAAATATCAGGGTGATCTTGAATCGCGCATTTCGCGCGAAGTGTATAATTTAATCAAAGATCACAGTGAGAGGAACCTAAAATAATAAGTAATCATAAAGTTTCGTGTAATTTTTATGGATAATAATTATTATTTTAATGATACTTAAAGTCACAAATGTATTTTATTCGTGTTGTTTTATCATTTTAATGGCACAATTTAAATATAATTTGAATTATGTATGAGAACGTGCGTAAAACAATCGTATCCACACAAATAATTAGCATGAAAAATTTCGTGATATATCAATATATATATATATATATATATATATATATATATATATATATACGAAATATTAAACTATAGAAGTATTTGAAATTACTGATTAATTATTTATTATACGATCGATATATCATAAGTCTCTTTTTTATGTTAATTGCTTAATCTCGCAATTTGATTTATAAGAATAGAAGTTAGGAATAAGAAAGAGAAGCAGAGTTGAGAAGAGAAAAAGTTTTGAAAATAATATAAATATGTAATAATAACATAAATAATTTATATAAATTTAATAATAATAACTTACCGCATATATGTATGTTCTATGTTGCTCGCTTTTCCAGACATCCTTTTCCTCTCTCAGATATCTTTCACTGTTTCCTCGTGACTCTTACACTCATTCACAAAAATACAATTAATTACGATTAGTCGAATACGTGAGCCACTTTGCACGGCACTTCCGATCCTGCGATCGAAATAATCATACACACTTTTTTATTATAAGAGAGCAATATTACATTTACGAGACCAAAATCATATGCCATTCGCTACAACTAATGTTAAATATTACTGTTGTTATATACAGTGGGTGTAAAAAGTATTCGTACACTAGGAATTTTTACAAAAAATGGATTATTTCTGTGTAACAATAAATAATAAACAAATAATTATTTGTTTATAATATAAATTCTTCTTTTCTTAATAACATTAAAAAAAACTCATAAATTATAACATTTTATATTTTAAAACAATAAAATAACAAAGTATAACGATTTTCAAAAGTACAAAGCGAGACTACCAAAAAAAAAAAAATTATCATTAAGCTGCATAATTAATGTAAAAATTTTGCAAATTTCGAAGATTGTTGGTCGAGCTCGCTCAATGATTCAATCTATTATTGATCGATTTTGTATACAGAAAACCGTAAAAAATACGCCTAGAAGTGGTCGATCACACATTCTTTCAAAGACCGATAAAAGATTTATCGTGCATCTTATCAAAAGAAAAAATCCCAAAATTTCGGCTCCGACGAATATGCCTACAATGAAAAAATGAAGTGTACATGTTTCAATCAGTACTGTTCGGAATATGTTGCGCAAGAACGGTTATCACGATCGAGTAATAAGAAAGAAATTTTGGGTCAACGAGACTAATCGGAAAAAACGACTTCAATTCGCCAAAAAATACGTTAATAAGGATAGTAATTTTTGGAATAAAGTCATATTTTCAGATGAGAGTAAATTTAATATTTTTGGTTTGGATAGGAGACGCACAGGATGGCGAAAAAAAATCGTGAATTAAATCCGAATAATTTGTTACTGTGAAACACGGCGGTGGTTCAGTGATGGTGTGGGACTGTATGAGTACTGGAGGGGTTGAAAAATTACATTTTGTTGAAGGTACAATAAATCACAAAATGTATATTGACATTTTGAAAAATAATCTAGTCGTCAATTGCGGAAAAACTTGGACTCGAAAATAAATTCATCTTTTAACAGGATAATAACCCGAAGCATACAGCCTATAATACCAAAAATTGGCTGTTATATAATGTACCAACAATTACATACTCTCCCACAATCACCGGACTTGAATCCCATTGAACTAGAGTCGCATATCTTCTGTTGAGGTGTTTTAAGAAATTATACTTAAGTATAATTACATATTTATTAATATACTATACTTAAGTATAATTACATACCTATTAATATACTTAAGTAAATACTTAAGTATAATTTCTTAAGACACCTCAACAGAAAGACACCTCCAGAGAAAGATAGGGATGTATGTGGGAGGAGGTGTCTTTACACCCATTTGATCAACGAGCGGTAGAATCCATCCGTGGGCTTTTGTAGGTATAAGTGTAAAACATTGAATGTGCGATACAGATTTTGAAAATGTAATTCTAAATCTTTAAATTTTTTTATTAATAGATAGACATAAGACTGATTTTATATTTTAATAAAAATATATATGAAATTAATTAAAGACAGATGTAACATTGATTAATATAATGGAATTATTATCAAATATAATTATTATAACTGGAATATAACTTCAGTTATATAACCATTTAATATAACTGTTCAGCCGTTGCTAATAAACATGTACATTAATAATAATACGTTCTTTGACAGTTGTGTAACCAGTAGCTAATAAATCACATATGTTATAATATTTGCTTGATAATATTCGTTTGATCCGCAAATTTGAAAAGTCGGTAAAAAGCAATTATACAATTTTAAAAACAAAAATGCTATAAATGTCTTACTAATCACATTCAATTTCTCGATCATTATTTAACAATATAGGCTAGAATTCAAGATCATAATGTCATACAAAATTTAAGATAAATTCAAGAGGCGAACGCATATCAAGCATAAAAATACGAAGTAGAAGACAGTTCATTAAAAAAAAAATGTATAATTAAAAAATTACTACTCACGTAAGTCTCCTTATTTCATTATCCTTTAATGTAATAAATTATTTTTTTATACTTATGTTGAACATGAATGTAATTATAATTATTACAGTATTTAAATAGTCAAAGATTATTTGTGTTTATTATTATGTTTATTATAATTAATTTTATATGATTAATTCATATTTTATCTTGTATAATATTAATTTTATAATATATTAGCATGCATATAAAGATACAGAGTGTGCTTGATATGAGCAAAATTGTCTTTGTGATTGTCATATATGTATTTGAGTTATCATTACTCCTTGTGTTATTGCCATTCATAGTTTGGAAATGGATCTCTGCAAAGCATCATATAATAACAATTTTAAGAACAATTATTGAAGTAAGGTTTAATATTATATATTTAATATTATGGATATAAAAAATATTAAATGCAATATTACTATATTTTGTTTCCTTTTTAATTTTTTAAACATTTCTATTTATTATTTATTTATATATCTATATTTTTAATTTATTTAACTAATTTATAATTTTATTATAGATTACATTAGAAATGATTATGTGGATTATTTTTGCCGGCGTGTCAATATTTATGACTGTGTTTTTCATATTTGACGATGTGTATTGGAGCAAAACACATCACGATAATCAAGAAAAATATTCACATATTATATTGTCTGATAAGAATGATAAATCTTTCATATCATAAAGTATTTACAATCTTATAGAGAAAAAGAATATAATTAAAATTTTGTAAAAGAAGAATATAATTAAAACTTTATAAATAAACAATTTGTTCTGAATTATTGTAAAATATTATATTTAATGTTATAAAATTATATTGTTATAATATTATATTTAATGTTATAAAATTGATTCTTGAAAACATAGCTGTTTTATGTTTTTTTAATCAAAATTCAAGATATTATAAATTGCAAATAAATTAATGAGAAATAACACAAAAACGACATGTGATTCTTAACTAGAAAATAATTAATGTAACAAATATGTCTTAAGCTGAAAATATATTTAAGCAAATGTAAAAATTTTCAAAGCAACTTTAAATTTATAGGTAAATTTTGATTTGAGATAGGAGTTTTAAAAAGAATATTATGTCATTATGAAATAGATTAATGATGTATAAAGTAAGAGTCTAATTTTTTGGATAAATTGTGATATTATTTTTTAGATTTATGATATGATGATACAAAAAAAGAAGCAATGATAAACTTTGAAACTTTTTTGGTATTTGGTCAACGTAATATTAAGGAATATTGATTTTATACGTCTTTTTTAAAGCTAATTATAATAATAAAGAGAAAATCTGAAATAAAATATTATAATTTTTAAATGATTCATTTTACAATAACAAAAAATATTTTATAAAGACAATGATGACAGGCGGTATTAAAAGCACGCCTAAGTTAGGATTATTATATGTTGTCCTTTGTCAATTGGGTTGCTATAAGAGAGGCGTATGGACACGTATCTGATCTTCAGTAACGTAACAAGAAATGACACAATTAATTAAATATTCTCTTTAAGAAAATATTGTACTATATTATTTTTAAAAAATAATTTTTCTGTGATAAATATCACAATTACTTTTATTCCATACATTTATTATAATCAATTCCTCTCTCCTTCTCTCTCTCTCTCAAGAGAAATTTTTTAAATATAATTTGGAAACAATTAATTTTTAGGCATTAGTTTGCTACTTGTATATTTATTTTAATGAATACTACATGAAAAAATTTGAATTTTTGAAGATTTTATAATTTATGTTTGTAATTTATTATATTTAATTAATGTAAATAATAAAATAATGACTTAACATTATTACTAAATGTCTCCTATCATATTTAAATAATAGCGTTACTTAAGGAATTAAGGAAATAAAAGAGGTAATATAACAATAATATTACGTGTCATAATGGAAAATTCTTTCAACCTTGTACATGCACAAGAACTAAACAACAAGTGTGTTATATCAATTGCAGACGGTACTTATATATACGTAATCTGTCATGTCAGATATCTTGATAATGCGAATAACAAACATCACGCGACAATTAAAGAGGTCTAATATTTAAATGGTAAAATAAATTTATAAACTAATCTTGTTTTATAAATATATTAAAGAACCATGTTATAAAACCATAAGATATTTTATGTTCTCTTTATGAAATTTTTTAAATGTCAAACTTGATGAACTTTTTTAAATAATTGATATTAAATATTTTTATCTCATTTGATTATTCAAAATTTTGTAAAAAAACATTACATCTTAAATCTTAAACTTTATTTTAAAGAGTTTGTTATTTCAAAACTTTCACCAAATTTTAATTAAGAAAACAATAGTACTTTTTACATATTTTATGAGTTATGATATACTAGATAATAATTATATTCATCAAAATCTAGGTCAATTAGATAAAATCACTAATTTTTATATCGTTGTAAAACAAAGTTTCGTTGTAACAATTTTTATATTTTATAAAAAAATTTCACAAATAGTGGCATATAAAAAAAGCTTTCGTAATATATAAGTAATGTCGATTGCAATCGTGACTGTAGTAGTTGCGACTTCTAATGATTAGATCGTATAGTGGGAAAAATTGATGATCAAGACAGGTGAATTTTTCAGAATCATCTTTTAACAGCGTGTTTCAGCCATAATCGGCAAGACGTAGGCCCAACCGATGCAGTATACGCTCCGATAATATACTCCCCACTCGCTACCGACAAAGTTGGGCCGAAAGTTCATCGTTTTATTATGTGACGCGTAGCGAAGTCTTGATAAAAACCTCTTGCTAGAGCATGCGTGATGGATCACGCATCCAAGGACAGTCGTGGTATGATAACTGAACTAGCTTCAACGACGCTAGTTCAAGTCGCGTTAATATTTTGCAACTGCCGTCTTTTTTTCTTTGTTGTCTGTTGAACTCGTGTACAAAGTACATAGCTACTATTAATCGATATCAGTCGGTGCCAGACGTCGCGATCTTAACGTTCGATATTTCACGATTGGATTTAATGAAGAATTGAGGTATAAGTGCGTGCGCGAATCGGCGCCGAAATTTTCAAATTCGCCAAAAAGAGTACCATGAAATACGTCGCGGCACTTGACGTCGGTACCACTACGGTACGCTTCCACATTCTGGATGAGAAAACAGTCACGGTAGCTTCCTCAGCGGAAAAGGTTCGTTGCCATTTAATTTTTATATTTTCTAAAGATTGTGAATGCCAATTGCGAGCGAACAGAAGATTCCAATATTCAATATGTAATTAAAATTGAAAATGTGGGGTTACACACTAATACATACACATACAGAACTTTTTAAATCTCGTTAAAGATTGTGAGATAAGAAAAAAATTAAGAAACTATTATTGAGGAAAATTATATCATATATAAAATTTTTTTCTGCAATATATAATATATATATATATATATATATATATATATATATATAAACATAATTTTAAAAAATTAAATAATTTATGTGCGAGCGGAAATTGTTGAAAGACCGTAATTTGTAGTCCTAATAATGCTATTGAAAAGACTAATAAGTCGGAGCAAATACTAAATTAACAACACACCAAGCCTTAATAATATGACAGAATGCAAATAACCTTGAGTATTTTTAGAATGTATTGAGAAATTATTTGATCTATTAATCGAATTATTTATTTTAACAGCTGATATCGATCATGTAGACATATATATATATATATATATATATATATATATACACACACATACACACACATATATACATAAACATCAGATATATATATATATATATATATATATATATATAAACCATAAAATAATATTTTATTTAAATTTACAGTAGGGCATATTCAATGGAATATCTCAAAATAATTTTATCGAATTCTGAATTTAAATCACAAAGAAATAATTATTTTTTTTAATATAATTAATTGGAAAAATCAATATTAAGTCAAACATAAATAAACATTTTCATACTTATAATCTTTACAATGTTATGATAATTTTTGGTGACTATTGTTAGTCTCTTTAATACGATGATATGTAAATATTATATGTAAATATTATATTGAATAAGTAAATGACAGATTTTTTAAAGAATTGTGCATCTTTTTCTTTTAAACGAGAGAATATAAAACATATAATAAATCTTGTAAAGAATTTTTTTGCAGTAACATCAGCATAAATTATAATAGAATATCATAAATAATAATCCGTATAAAGGTGGAATAATTTGCATATATTTTCAAAGCTAAAAAGCTAAAAAATGGAATTTTAAATTTGAAATTCTTAAGTGTTGACTTGTCTTATATAAGAAATGTAGAGATATTTTGCGTCGACTACATATTTATAAACCTTATTGTACAATTTTTTATCTGTAACGAGCTGATTATAATTTTTTTTAAAGAAAAAATTAATCAATATATTGCGGATATAGTAAGAAAGGGAAACATGTAATAGAGATCAAGAGAACTGTCTATAGAATACCTTGAAGTCAAGGTAATCAAGTTAACATAAAAATGCTTTCCAGCTCGCAGATTAATAAACTCAGAAATAAGTTACTAGGACACTCCACGGCAGACTGCATTCGTCGTGCATACTTATAAGTGCTTAACATCGATTTAACCAGAACGATGCAAAGGTCGTTGCCAATGGCAATAAATTACTTCTATTTCGCACACGTTCTCTAATATATTCTCTAATAATATCTTGAATCACAAATATTTAACTTGAAATTTGCAAAAATAAGTATATTTACATTTTCACTATTAAAAAATATACTTCAGTATAATGCGTTCGTTAAAAATATTAATTAATATTAATTCATATTATTATTATTTCTTCAATAATATGGTTAGCAAATTATATTTAATATTTATAAAAAATCAGAAAAAAGAGAATAATTTTTATTAAAGCTTGTATTATTATCTTTTGTGATTAATATTTTTCTGTCATTGAGAGATTGAAGCGGATTTTTTACATTTACTAATTAAATTCAATTAAATTTTTAAAATTGGGTACAAATTTTTTAAAATTATTTATAAACGGATCTTGTGCATACTGAATATGTATAATATAAAAATATTGAAACTTTGTTGATTTAATTCAAGACAAATACATATTTGATAAAGCTGTTTCTAATTAATACAAAGAAGAAAATTAAACAAAAAGAGTTTAACCAAGCTATATTTGTTCAAATAGTTATTTAGCATAAGTAAATTCAGATTGATTCATGTGTGCATACATATGTGTTATTGGAAAAAAATTATGAATATTATCTGGCATTAAATTCTTTCATTACAGAATTTAATTTAGGTATAATAACAAAGATATTTTTTTTCCTCTGTATTTATTATTAAAATAAGTTTCAAGTAATATTCATGTTATTTGTAATAATTAACTTTTTACATTTACTTTGTATTGCAACAAAGTTTTTTTTCGAGTTTCTATATTCTTGAATTTTGAAACTTTAATATTTTATAATATAACACATTTTATAATCCAAAAGCTAAAAATTAATAAAATTAAAATAATAAAATTACTTATAAAATTTACTTCACAGATTATTTTAATCTTTATGTATATGATAGTGTTTCTTGAGTTATATAAATTCTATTCTAAATTAATTAAAACTTAATTAATGCAAAAGTCTATTTTAGTTCTAAAGATATGAGTCCTTGAAGTATAATAATTTTTATTTTATCTAGAACTTTTTTTTTAAATTTATGTAGAAATATTTTCCCCCAGTGTATACTTTTTATATAAAGCAATGTCAAGATAATGCATTATTTATTTATTGTATGACACGAAATCTAATCATTCATAGTTTTATACGAAAATAAATCGTACAGAAATATTTATTAAGAAGTATGAAGTACAAGCGAATGAGAGAGAGAGAGAGAGAGAGAGAGAGAGAGAGAGAGAGAGAAAGAGAGAGAGACAGGGAGAAAGAAAGAGAGAAACTCAAAAATTCGAGTGTGAAAACGCATTCTAATTCCAAAATCATATATATTAGTGGCTATAAAAACGGTATGAAATACGAATAAAAATAAAATAATAAATACTTTATTTTTTTTAATGTAGATAAAACTGATTTATCCAGAACTTGGATTTGTGGAAATAGATCCGGATCACTTATGGCAAATTATAATAAAAGTAATCAAGGATACATTAAAGAGTAAGTAAAAATTGTTTTTCTATTCATAAAATAATAATTAAATACTGAATTGGTTCCCAATAATTTTAATGACAATAGGTAAAATTCATACGGGCCTTAAATATGTATGTACATCTGGCGATATTTCTGCTATAATTCTGCTCAATAAGAATTAAAATGATAAGAGAAAATAAATATACAGAAATATAATTGTTTAAATATAACTGTCACAGTTGTTTATGCAAAGCACACGAATCTTCTCCATAATCTGGAATGGATAAACGCAGAAAATTTTGGTTTCACGCATTTTCAGTAGACATTTGAAATTTCAGTTGAAGTCATGTATCTTAATTCGTTAATCATTTTAATAACTGATAAGATTTAAAAAATGACGTATTGTTTATGTAATTTATTTTTAATTTGTACTGGTTCTAATTGATTTTATTCTAATAAATAAAATTATTGAATGAAAAATTTGATTAATTTTTCCGCATCAGCGGAATGAAAGATGATCAACATCAGCTTGAATTGAATTTTTGGCTACCTATTAAATGTGTGTTAAACCTCATTTCTGTATTTCAATCTGTTCTAGAAATGTTCATCATAAACCGAGGTGTCAGCAATCGGACGCATCGAAAGTAAGCAATCACATATCATGCTTGCGACACTCGATGCAGTTAAATGCTTGTTTATTTATTATTTTGCCAGTTAATTATTTTCAAGTCTTATAAAGCATTTAATTTGATTAAATAAAATATTTTTTGCTCCATATATGAGTCTGGTTTTATGAATGGTGGAATGCTGTCTTTTTTTTTTATATAAATAAAAATGTACGCGGTTTATATCACATGTACGGCAGATATTATAATATCTATCTAGATCATTTTGAGCTTGTTATATTTTCTTACGAAAAAAAGTTTAAAAGTAGATATTAAGAAAAAAAAAATATATATATATATATATATATATATATATCCTTGTGCTCTTTTCTTAATATCTACTTTTAAATTTTTCTTCGTAAGGAAATATAACAAGCTTAAGATGTATGTGATATATATATATATATATATATATATATATATATATATATAAAACTTCTCAGGGATTTTGTCGGGTTATGATCGATTGATATATTTTTTTGTGTTCAATTTGTTGTTTGTGTATTTTTATGTTATAACTTATGTTATAATCTCGGACTGAGACCAATTTATTCCGTTTATGGTTTTAGACAGCGAGATCGATCCGAAGTCTATCGTTTGCTTTGGAATTTCATCGCAACGAGCCAGCTTTATTACTTGGAATTTGAGGACTGGAAAGCACTATCACAAGTGAGAGCGACAAAGATGATAAAAGTATTTCAGTTAGAATAAAGTTTCACAATTGTGTAATATTGTTGTTTTAGATTTATAACATGGAAAGATCAACGAGCGTCTGCTCTGGTTAATGAATGGAATCAGTCGATGACGATGAAAAGTTTTCGAATAGTCTCGCGTATTTTGCATACTGTTACAAGAAATAACCGCTTTCTGGCCGGTAGCGTGTTGAAGTTTATGAATATGCAGGTTGAAAAATATTTCTATCATTTATATTTTTAATTACACACACACACACACACACATACACACACACACACACGCACACATATTTATTTATATATATGTTTATCTATATTATCAATGTATGTTTTAACACTATTTCAATGATCTCTAAATCGTTCTTTCTTCGTCAAAAATAAATCATTATTAGAGCATCAATTTCGCTTTATAAAGCTTTATGAAGCTTTTTAGCTTTTTGCTAACTACTCTCTCGGTTAATATTCCCTTAAGAGCTTAATTTCGAGCTCCTGCTTTGTTGCAGGTTAACTTGAAATTAGTATGGGTTCTTCAGAATATATCAGGTCTTCGAGAAGCAGCATCTAACGGAGAAATGGCATTCGGAGGTGTAGATTGTTGGCTTTTATACAAATTAACAGGTAAAATAATTGTATTTTTAATTAAATATATTTTACTTTTATATTCTATATCTTTTAAAATATCCATAACATTGTTAAATGTATATGATATTTCCTTATATACTTGTTAACATTTTATTATATTTGCAGTAATTAGTACAATTAGGTTGTACTCTAATAGCCATATATTTTTCATTCATTGCAGGAAAGCATATAATGGATGTTTCAAGTGCTTCAGCCACTGGTATATTCGATCCATTTCAAATGAAATGGTCCAATTGGCTGCTAAATATGTTACAATTACCACACAATATTCTTCCAGAAGTAGTAGATACAGCGGGCAACTTTGGAATTATACCCGAAAGTTTGTTCGGAGCTGAAATTCCCATTTATTGCTCAGTAAGTAATAAAGTTACAAAGTATCTTGACATAAACAAATCACGTTTAATTTGATGACTATACAAGAGTTAATATAATTATTCACGGGATATATATTGTATTATATACAAGACATGAGAGCTAATTTTGAAGTTAAGGAATATTTTTATTTCTAATAATAACGCCGTAAAATTTTAGATGGCCGATCAAGCAGCATCCTTATTTGGTTCAGGATGTTTCAAGCCCGGTGATCTTAAAGTTACTATGGGAACAGGTACTTTTCTAAATGTCAATACAGGACGGGAACCACATGCATCAGTTGCTGGTAATTTGGGGAATTTATATTACTCATTTTATGCGGAAATTTATTCTGTTTAATATATCAATATGTTGTATATATTATAAAATATGTGTCGCGCATATGTGTCTAGTAAATAATAATAAACTTTAAAATATATAAAATACGCTTGAAAATAAATAAACATGTATATATTATAAACAGATATATAAATTAAAAAATTATTTATAGGACTTTATCCAGTTGTTGGATGGCGAATCGGAGAAGAACTAATATATATTGCAGAAGGATCTTCAAATGACACTGGTATATTAATTGAATGGGTTAAATCAATAGGTAACTCATCAGCTTTCAAATTTTATATAAAAATTTTACATTAAATTTATAAATTTATTTAAAAAAAGAGAAAAAAACAGACAGATTAAATTATCTGATTATATCTTTAATTATTTATATAAAACATTTTAGCATATATATATATAATATAATTTAATTTGTATACCTACTCTGTATCTATAAATGTAAATGTAATCTTTTGAAAAAAGACCTTATTTTTAGAAACAATTCAATTCTACTTTATTGTTATATATTAATTTCGATTATATGATTGCCGCAGGAATGGTGAACGATGCTACAGAAACAGCTGATATGGCAAACTCAGTCAATGACACTGATGGAGTATATTTCATCCCAGCATTCAGCGGACTACAAGTATTATAACGAATTTCTTTCGATATCAAGATAAAAATTTCTTTTCATGCAATAAGACATTTTCGAATTAGAAAATTATTTCTAAAGCTTTCTTACTGACTCTTTAGATATCCATGAAAATGAAAAATAAAGTAAAAAATATACTGTCTTATCAATATAGCAAATATTTATGAAATACAAATTTACTTTAAGAAATTTCTTTTTAATCAGCATTTAAAGAATATTATTTCGACATATTTAGGAGATATTTTATTTCCATTTTCTGCTTCAGATCTGAAAGAGGAAAAAACACTAAATTGATTATAAATACTCACTTTAAAAACACATCACACAAAAATATACATAAATAACATATGTGCGTTATTTATTGTTTCAGGCACCTATAAATGATTATACAGCCGCAACCGGTTTCTTAGGAATAAAGCCTACCACGAAAAAAGAGCATATCGTTCGATCTTTATTAGAGAGTCTCGTTTTTAGGATTCAACTACTTCACGAATGCTTGCGCAATGAAACTTCCTTTATATACCAAAAAATAAAGTAAAAATTATACAATAATAATACTACATACTTAAAAATTCATATTTTATAATTTATAATTATCAAAAATTCATAGTTTATAATTTATAATCTTTGTCATTATTAACAATGATGCAAGGATCTTAATGGAAGATGATTTCTGCTATTTCTCTATGCAATAATTAAACTCCAATAACGCAATATCAATAAAAAATATCAATTAATTCAAATATATTGTTTTGTAGGGTCGACGGTGGAGTTTCCCAAAATGATTTTATTATGCAATCGTTGGCTGATTCGACGGGATTAGATGTAGAACGTCCAAAATCTGTTGAGATGTCCATTTTAGGAGTAGCATTCCTAGCTGGTTTACAATGTGGTATGAATCATGTAATTTTATTATTACGAATTATTTATATTTCTCATATATCTAATAATTTAAAAAGTTTTTATTCTTTCAAAAGTATGTGTGCTGTACTATTACTTTTTATATTACTTATAACTAAACAAAACACATTTAATAAAAGACTAATTTTCATGTATATTTTTACGATTTTCTATTCTTTAATTCACTTGATTTTATAAGAAACAAAAAAAAAGAAATTATTTATCGACTAAGACACACACACACACACACACACACACACACACACACACACACACACACACACTAAAGATTATTTTTGTCCAGATGATATGAGATTATAATAAGTTTAAGTAAAATTAAATGTTACATAATATGTGCGTTTATTTTATATATATATATATATATATATATATATATATATATATGTATCAATTAAATTAGCAATTGATAATTTTTAATTATATTTTAATTATAATAATTATAATTTAATTTTTAATTTTAATTATAATAATTATAATTTAATTTTTAATTATATTTAATTAGCAATTGAGAATTTTTAATATATCATTTAATTTCAGGATTGTGGAAAAGCAAAGAAGAAATATTGATGTTACGTCAGGTAGATAAGATATTTAAACCAAATAAAGAATCACAATCATTTTATCAGCATACATATAACCAATGGAAACGCGCGGTGGAGCGTTTCAAAAACTGGTACTAACGATAATTTCTAAATAAAAATCCATTTTTTATGAATATATATATTAAGAATTTGTAATATTATAAAAACGGGTCTAATGTATTATACTATTCGCAATGTAAATTAATTAAAATATTTAATATTAAAAATTACAATAGAAGAATAAATTTTTTCTAATACAAAATATGCGTTAATAACACATCATCATATCATCTATAAACGCGTTTGAATATAACTCTCAATTAAAATGAAAGTCTTAACGCATTTTAATGTCAGATCATATCGTAGCATCTACGATAAAAGACAAACATATTTATTTGTCTAATACGAATATACTAGTATTCTTTTATAATATTTAAATTAAAATACATTTTCAAATAATTTTTTATAAAACATTATATAAAATTAAATTATTTAAAGCTACAAATATATTTAGACTAAATATGTAGACATAATATTTTTATATTTCTAATATATTAAAGAAGAAAAAATAATTATTTTTTCAAAAATGAGATAAAGATTACCATTAATTAATTGGCACGCAATTAATTTGTATTGTTTTTAGTAACAATGTTATTTATTATTAATTTCTATTTTCATGTGCATGCAATTAATGAAAATTCTATGTAGATAATTCAAAATAATAAATGAACATTTATACTTCTATTAATCAAAAGATCAAGAAATTTATAACCATAGGTTTTATCGGAAACAATCGGAAGCATTATAATAATGTGCAAAGAGAGAAGTGCAAACCTCTCAACTGCAGTATTTATAAATGTTAATAGTTAAACTCTTATAACTTCTTGGTAGCGAGGAAAGGCGTGCTATTGTTAAAGGTACAAATAATCGAAAGCATTGTATATCATACTAGCATGGGACGTATGTAATAAATGAAATTGCATGACCTACGCAGGTTGTCCGAACGTATCGCAACGGCACGCGAGATCGTTTATCAGTTGTTAGTTGCTCGCCAAGTGAAGAGTTCATTAATGATAACATATAGGACTAGTGCAAGTCAAATTTAGTCTTTGTAGGTATTGAACACGTATAACATCTTTTTTTCCAGTTCTTTACTATAATTGATCGCATTCGTTGGCGAAAGAAGACAATTTTCTGTCGTCTATTTTAGTAACTAGTTTCCGAGACTCATTGTGTAAGTGGTTATTGTTTTAACGAAAGAAATCGTTTTTCAATTTTTACGTAAAATAAAAAACTTAACGTAAGTTTATTTATAATGCATTAATGATATAGTTGTAACACAAATATTTGTTATATTGATTGTTCTATTTAGGTTTATAGAAGGCAAATTCAAAATGATATCAGGCATGAGAAGTTTAAAACAGGCACTGATGCCTATCATATGGCTTAATTGTCTATTTTGCATGGGAATATTCGAAATACCTGCGAATCGCCCACGATTTTTATTAAGTGCCTTCTACGTCGTCTCGATGACAATTGCATACTTCTCGTTGCTTTATAAGGGACTTGCCATGTTTCAGGAAAAGTTCACTTACGACTTAATTGTATACTATTCCGTTTTAATAATTAATATCTTAGTTGCCACTTTGGCTATAATTTTGTTCTGGTGCAAAGCAGAGGTATGTCTATATAATATGTGTAATGATATTTCGTATAGAATCAATCCAAATAATAAACAAAAGTTTCACAACAAAAATAATACAGAAATAATAATTTTTTTAAACACACACACACACACACACACACACACACACACATATATATGTATATATATGTATATATGTTAGCTAATAACACACATATATGTTTAACTAATTATAAGTTTAAAATATATAAATATATAAAAGAAAATCTTTTTTTTTACATTGAAGCGAAATTTTTAATTGCATATAAATATTTTTCCTTTCTTTTCTTTCATTTTTTCGATTGATTACTTTGAAACAAACTTACTAATTTAGTTTCGATGTTTTAAGAATTTAAATAGCATAATTAAAAGGTTCAGTATAATTGACAATACTATAGAAGTATTGGGCATAAAGAGGGATTACCAAAGAACTCATCGCAATGTTCTATATATTATGGCTATATGGATAATAATCATGCTGTTATTGAATATCATGCATATAATATGGATGTATCAAGATACTATTTCTCTAGGATATTTAGGCATGTTTTTGACTGATTTATGTTTCTGCATTCCGATTCTGACAAATTCAGTAGTAGATATCACTTTTGCTTCATTGATCAGGCAAGTATAATAATGTTTCCCAAACAATATATTTTTCAAGTTAGCAATCAAATAGAATTTTATTTAATTAGAGTTATTTTATAATTTCTAATTTATTTGTTAATACACACACATAGCATATTTTTTTTTAAATTAATTGAAATAAGTAAATGTATATCTTTGATTTTGTATATATAAAACAATAACATATAAAATTGCATTGACAGATGCCTTCAACTAAAATTTCAAACTACAAATGTTTTGATTAACAAAGTAGTACTTCGTGCAAATAAATCAAGTATCTTTAAGATCCATGATCAACATACATCTATGGCAATCGTCACAATAAACTATGAAAATCAAAAAGACAAGATACTACATCTCATACAGACGTTGAGGTAAAATTAACAATAATTCTCATTTTCTATTATCATAATATAAAATTTGTCACAGAATTATATATATATATATAGAATACATTTAAAAAATCGGAATGCATATACAAGATGTTATGGATGTTAAAATATTTAAAATAAAATTATTTAAATTTTATCTATTGAAAATTTAAAAAATGATCTCTTAGAATGATTTAAATAATTACTAATTAATTAATATTTTTATCTGAAAGACATACACATTTAGAAATTACGAGAATAGCACAACAAATTAATCGTACTTACTGTACGCAACTTTTACTCGAAATGGCAGTCCATTTTACTGTAGTAACTGCATGTATTTACTGTATGTATGGTGCACTTACCGGTCAATTTCATGTGATAGTTCACACTGAAAAACTTATTGCCATGATAGCTTGGGCATTAATTTACTCATTCAAAATTATATTTGTGAACTTTCTTTGTACGAGTGTATCAGAGGAGGTAAATTATTTTTTCTTTATTAAAATAAAATGTAATTAAATAAATTTATAATGATAAACTCAGAATTAGATTGATACAATTGAATGTATTATATGTATTATTTAGAATATATGTAAATTATAATATACTCTTAACATGTTTATTGCGTAATTTATTCATGATTTTATATTGAATTTGTTCATTAAGTAATTAAGATTATAATTTCAGGCATATAAAACTGGCGAAATTATGCAATCTTTTGATGGATTGAACACTGATGATGCTATGAGAGAAGAAGTAAGTCCTGTTAATACATTATCGATGATAATATTTAATCAAAAATTTGATTTCTTCTCTTTAAAAGAAACATATTGACATTGTTCATTTAGAACCATTAGTCGTTTAAGAAATAAAAATATTGTGCTTTTATCTGATGAATAATTAATTTATATAAATAATTTAAAATATAATAAAAGAAGAAAATAAATATGCCAATATATATTTTTATATTTTGTAGATTACTCAATTTACACAACAAATAATACTTAATTCCTTAACGTTTACCGCTTCTGGGTTTTTTTCGATTGATAATACTCTTACTGGCAAGGTAAGCATGTTTAATTTATGCAATTGTAAATTTATTTATGTAATTGTAATTTTTAAAAGAAATTTCATGTACATACATATATATGTGTGTGTGTGTGTGTGTGTGTGTGTGTGTGTGTGTGTGTATATTATTTAATATATAATTATAAAATTCGAAAAAAAAACATTATATTATATGTTTGTTTCAGTTTTTTGCCACGGTCACGACATATGTGGTTATTCTAATACAAATGAACACGCCATTATATGTAGATGACTAAGATTGTAGACTAATGTTACTTATTGAATTAAAAACAGTTTATAAGAAATAATAATTCACTAAAATTATCACTTTAAAAATTGTGTAATTAATAGCAAGTAACTTTCCAAATTTTCTTATTAATAAAATTCTCGAAATTTTATTTATAAAATAAACGATTTTTTAAATGTTGTAAATATGAATAAATAAAAAATATAATATTTTATTTTAAATTTTCAATAATAACAAACAATTAATTGCATTCTTTTTCAATATGATTTATTTATATAACACAAGAAACACAATGATAAAATAAATTTATATATAAATACAATTAAAACTTGTGTCATTATTGAAAATAAAATTAAATTTGTTTAGATCTTTAGCATTCATCATGCAATATATGTAAATATATTTATGTATAGAAAGAAGTATAATGTAAAATAATTACTAATAGTTTATATGTGAATTGATTAAATCTTATCGTACATTTATCTTATTAATGATTCAATGCTAATTTAATTTATTTTGTTATGAATGTAATCATTACGCGCTACACTACTATATTTAAGTTGAATTGTAAGAGTTAGTGGAAGTGCAAGAGAATTAGTGGTACTATGATCGACACTATACAAAAGGTTTCAAATTCTTTTTGCTTATAACTAGTTGCACTTTCTGCGATTTCGGAATTCTTATTCTTTAGATTAGAGAATTCTTATCTTATATATATTAAGTGTGTAAAAAATATGTATATATTTCTATGTCTTTTATTATGTAATTGTTTTGTCATGAAAACATGTAATGAATTTTATATGCTTTACTTTATAATAATAAATCTACTTGTGATGATATCAATAATCATTACTATTCGCGAACATAAGATATATTTTTTCTATATAAAATATTGCATTAGTGCTATAATAGTATGGTATTAAACTACATCTACGGTGACAAATGACAATAAAATATTTATCTACAAATTTTAAGTTATTCTTGTTTGTAATTATGTAAAGAGAAATAAAATTTAAATTTACATATACATATGTAAATTGTGTGTGTTTATTTCATTTATTAAAAAAATTACTGCATAACCTTTATTTATTACACAATTTTAATATTAAACATTTGAAAAATGACAACTGTCAATAAAGTTGTTAGCAACATTATTGACATTAATATTATTTATTGTCCAATAACATCGATTGACTGTTGTACTGATGTTACTACATTTACGAAGGAATAAATAATGCATGATAGTAATGCAATAATTCAAATATGTGCATGCTATGCTATTTTTATGAATGAGTAAATATCGGAAAATAAAATTGAACAGATATGCTATCATTTAAAGAAATCGCAAAAATATGACTATGATGAAATCATAGAAATTTTTACATGTTTTCTTTATCTTAGTTTCTCTTTTTATTCTGTTTTTTTTTCATGTGTTGTGCTATTTAAAGGTTGTAGTAACTTAAATAGTAAAGGAAATGTTGCGAAATTTTTCAAAGATTCTAAATTATTTATATCATTTTATTTATACCAACTTATTTAGTAATGTTATTAATTATAGTTAGTAATTATTTATAGTAATTTTAATTTTATTTGTAATTGTATTTGCTTAAAAATTATGATAACGTATTATATGTTAATGATAACGTATTATATGATTATTATATAGATATATTTTGTATCTAATAAAGAGATGTGGGGGAAAATAGAAATTAAAAATAACTGGCACATTATGCGAATATCGATTATCTTAGCAATATATATCTATGTTATTATTTAATATTTTAACGATGTTAAAACAACGATCTAATCAAATGTCATCTTACCATGCTAATAAATGTAACGTTAACACGCTATATGGCCTTCACTCGGGATCTAATAGTTAACATATAAAACTAAACAGAGTTTGCGATCATGGTTGACACTATAGAAAAGGTTTTAAAACCTTTTCTCTTAATCGCTTGTTTCCTTGGTTTTGGAATTTTTAAAAATAACTCGAGTTATTTAAGATTTTATTTGAACATTTTCTATATACTAACTGTGTGGAGTGTTTACGCCTGCGCCTTTTATTATGTGGTGACTTTCTTTGCACCAAATCGTATATTTTCAGGCTTTCTAATCTTTTTCATAGTGATGACAAATTTGTTTGTGACGATAATATCTGTAATTATCATCATTCGTAAGCATGAGGTACAATTTTCTTTGTAAATGTTTTATTATAACGTTAATAATGTAATATTTACAACAGAGCAAATAACACGAAATACGATTTCTCAAAATTTAAAATTATTTTTATTATTAGTTATCTGGTAAAATCAAATTAAATTATATTTGATTGTCCATTTGACTAAATATGAATTAAATAATCTATTTTTTATTTACGTGTATTAAAATAAAATTTTATGTTTCTAAAATGTAATTATACTTTCAATCATTGGATTATCAGGACGAAAAATATTACATATATTTAAATAATAGGTTTTGTTTTTTGTATACATACATATATATATATATATATATATATATATATATATATATATATAATTACATTGGTTTATTATTACATTGGTATATATTATTACATTACTAAACACATTAATATATATTTTTATGCATACCAAAAGATATTTATAATATTATATATCTTTTTGTTATTGTTTCTATTAGAAATTCTATATGTGTGTAAGAAATCTTGGTCTCGTAGACGATACATTAGAAATGCTTGGAACATCAAAGGAATATTGTAAAATGCGAAATTCGATAAAATGGATATTAATTGTATGGTTTATGATAACTTGCATTTCGTGGCTATCTGACTATATTTGGTATATGAAAAAGCTTCAAGATATGAGAGTTATCATTATTCCTATCATTATAAATTATCCTTTTCATCTCAATACATTGATGGATATAATATTTATATTTCTTTTAAGGTTTGTAAAAGTTATATGTAAAAGTTGTTTATTTTTTTTAAATTATAAGTATTATTAATATTATAAGTATTATAAATATTATTGAGAAATTTGAATGATTTATTTTTATTAATTTTTAAATGTATAAATTGTAAAAATGCTATATCACAAGAGATGTTATTTGTATAAAATAATATATCAAGTATGAATTTAATAAGAATTAAAACATGCTCTTAATTTGCGATATAAATATAAATAAAAGAGTTTAATACATGTTTCATATGTTGCAGTTCTTTATTTCTTTAAATTACAGATACATCGGTACTAGATTCGATAAAATTAATGGTTATATTGAACAATTATCAGAGACTGAAAAATGTGAATTGAAATGCACTTGGAAAAAATCTCTTGTTACTCGCACTATTGTCCGAAATAATAAAAATCACGAGCATGTATTATGGATTTCAATGTAAATTGATATATCATAAGATGAAAATCAGTAAAATTAGAGGATTTATTTTAACAAAAAAGAATTTTATTAATCTAAAAATAAATATATTGCATCTTATTGTTATCACAATTTTATTGGTATTACAATTTTATTAACACAATATTTCTAAATTAATTTGTGATAATTTTGTATCTATCTATTAAAATATCTGTTTTTTTCCAAATTTATATAATTGCAAATTTAAAAATTTTTTAACTTAATGTAAGTATAAACATTAATTTTACTCAGCTTATAACTAAATAATTACTTCAATTACAATATAAATAGTAAATGTAGATATATCAGAGATTATATATTCTGATTGTACTTAATTCTAAATAAACAAACATTATACGCATTTCTTAGAAAATCAATAATTATATTTTTTGATGTCTTTTAAATATATTTATGTATTAATATAATTATATTATGTATTAATATAATTTTTTAGGCACCTTCATTTGCAACTTTGCCGAATAGCTCGCAATATAAATGATTTTTTCGGAACGCAAATGACCCTACAGATGATATCCTACTTTGTTCTTTTAACCGGAATATTTTATTTTCAATATCGTACAATATTATGCCTCAAACAGTTTTACAATGAAGAAAATAAATTAGTATTTTTAATTCATACCGAAGTATGGTGCGGCATATACTTAATAAAGTTTATAACACTAAATTATATTTGCGAAAGCGTTAGCATCAAGGTAAATCATTAAATAATTTTTAGATAGATTATAAAAAAAATTATTTTTACAATATATATATATATATATATATATATATATATATATATGTGATATTCAATCTATCTAATAAATAATATTAAAACTATAATATGTTAATAAAGTATTTAAGTTAAAAGAAAAATAAAAAATTAATACTTCTGAATTCTCTTAAATAAAGAATCTGAAAATTTTTTCTTTATAATAATTATAAATTTACTCATACTATAAATGTACAATTCTCGAAATTTATATAATTATTATGAATAAAGATATATTTAACTTTATATTATTCCAGGCGGAGAAAACCATGGACATGATTCAAAAATTGACAAACCTTATCTATTTTGACCAAATACGTGAAGACGTAAGATAAATCTCTGAAATCTTTTGATTTTAAACAACTTTTATTCATCATTTTTAAATAACATAAATGTTATAATGCAGATTTGCCAGTTTATTTTTCAAATATCACTTCAACCGTTAAAGTTCAACGCAATGGGTTTGTTTTGCTTTGGCTACGAATTTATTCGTAAGGTTAGTTTTTATTATTATACACATTTATACAAACAAAATGTAATTTAGAAGTAATTTAGAAATTATATTTAAGGCTTATGCACAAAAATGTAAAATAGCGACCATTATATATTGTTTGATATTTACTTTCAGTTCATCATAGGAATTGTTAGTGTTATGATTTTTATGATGCAAATGGATAGTTCTCCTTTATCTCGGATTTTAATTTCTTACAAAAATAATGCAACATGTTATGAATAAATAAGAAAAATATATAATTCTGAAGAACTCCATATGTAGTATCTTAGTTTACTTAATATCCGTAAATTTTTATTATTAGAAAGTTATATTGAAAAAAGGAGTCAATAATAATTATATAGTAAAAGAAATTATAGTTGAGATTTTTATTTTTA